GACGTGAGGTTGGGCTGGACCCAATATCGACCAGGGAACCTAAGAATAAGGACGAGGACGGAAAACCAGAAGGTGGCTAGTCACGTGGGTAACGGATAAAGTTCAATTGTGATTTTGGTTAAATTACAATTAACTCCTTCTAGATATTATGAAATTACAGAAATCATCCAAAAAAATTATATATATATATATATATGGGGGGAAAAAAAACTCTTTCACGTTTAAGAAAATAGTACTAAGACAGCCTTTTGTATCAAAATGCCCTTAATTAATTGATATTTAAGAAAGATAGTAACTTAAAATTTTTTAAAAAAGAATATAAAAAATGGACATTAAGTGATTATTTTTTACTACATGTATATTATTAATTTCACTATTTAATTTCAACTAATTTTGTTATGAGTTTCTTTTTTAATATTCTTCCTTTATTTTTTAATATTTCTTAATTTCTAAGTAGCAATCAAAGGCATTTTTGGATATATAATAGGGGTTTTTCGTTGAATCTTTAATTTTTTTGATAGATCCTGTAATTCTATGATATCTCAAAAGTTATTAGAATTTATCCTTCTCTTTTTATAAATTTGTTCATTCTTTAGTAATTTACCAAAAATTACATTTTTTTTTATATGATGCTTTCAAATTTTACTTTATAAAAACTCTAAATTCAACAAATTTGGCGGATTTCAAGTTAAATATAAAATTAATATAAAATTCAACAAGATTATACGATCAGGATTATTAAAAAATTTATTTGCTAAAAGGGCGTGTCAACATTAGCCTTCACTTAAAACCTAATAACAAATCTTAACCATTAATTTAAACTGAAAGGTCAAAATCTAACTAATTAACATGATGATGTTAGAGGTAACATGAGAGGAGTTATGTCCATTTTAAAATATTTTATTAAATTTTCTAAGATGATGTGAAAATTGCATTTTTAAGATCTTTTGAAAAAATAAATTTAATCTCAATTAATTCACATATAAGTTGATCCAAAAATATCTCTTAACAAAAAATAAAAATAAAAAGAGAAAATTTATGTAAATTCAACAAGATTACATAGTATAAACCTAGTTGGTTTTTTTTTTCATTTTTTTAATTTTATTCAATCATTGCTGAAAAATAAAACTTTTGGCATACATTCCATAATTTAGACTTTATTTCTACTAAATGCTTTAGAATTTTATCTTAAAACTCTATGTTCGATTGATTTCAAGTAAAATGTCAATTTTACGTGAAACTCAACAAGATTACTTAGTTTGAAAATCTTCGATTTTTTTCCTTAATCTTTTTAAATGAGATTTTCTTTAATTAATCTTCTAAAGATAGCTGAGTTTTAAATGTTTGATCTCTTGTAAGTGTAATTCATTACCACTAAATCAGAAACCTCAAGACCATTAAAATTTATTAATGACAGACCTTCCTTGTACTTTCCTGTTTCATGTTTAACATGCGATTCATAAGCTTAAACAGAAAGGCAAATACAACGTGATGGAATACATACATACATAAATATATGTGTGTGTATCCATGAAAATGGAATGTGAACAACAATTAGGAGAGAATAACCGTCTCCACTAAAAACCCGTTTTGATTGATAATTAAGGTTTAGTTGGTGCAATATTTTAAGGTGATGCAAAATAAGAAGAGATTAGAAGCACAATTAAAAGGGCAGGTTAGGTTAACCATTAAGAGGCATGTGAGCGTTGAAAGTTAATTCAGGTTCAACCGTTCAAGTGCTATTTTAAGGTGATGCATGTGCAATTTTGAAATTTGCGTGAGAGAATGAAAAATGAGGAGTGAAAATAATAATAAAAATTAAATATATTTTCATTTCTATGGAAATAAGTCAAAATAAAAATAAAAAAGAGATTTTTCTTTTAAAATAATAATATATTATATTATATTTATTTATTATTAATTATTCTATCAATACTTTCAATATCACTAACACCGGCGGTATTAAAAAAATTTGAAAAAAAAATTATTATTATGATTCTACCGTCACTCTTACTTCATTATACTTAGGTGTCTGTTTGGTAATCGGGAATAGAGTGGTGGGAATGGGAATTGAAGTTTTATTCCCACATTGTAGTTGTTTGGTTAAAAGGAATGAAATGGGAATGAGAATGAAGAGTGGGAATAGGAATGAAAATTTACACACAACTTCATTCCCACATAAAATGTGGGAATAAAAAACAAGGAATGGGAATGTATTTTATTTATTTATTATCTATTAACTACTTTTGCCACAACCACCATTACAACAACCACCAACACCACTACACTATCTTCATCACCACCACCGTCACAACCACCACCGCCGCCGCCGCCATTACCACTACCACTACCACCACCATCACCACCGCAACCACCACAACCACCACCAGCACCACCACAACCACTACCACTACGAGCATCATCACAACCATTATTATTATAATCACTACCGTCACCGTCACCGTCACCACCACCACTACAATCACTACCATCACCTTTATTATTTTTATAACTATTATAGTTTAATAAAATTATTTTTTAATCATTATTTATATTTATATACAAAATCAGATATTAAAAAATTTAAATTTCATTCCGATTCCTTATTAGTATTCCAAACACGGTATTAGAATACAAATACTATTCCGATTCCTTAATTTTCATTCGATTCCTGCATTCCCATTCCCATCACTTTATTCCCGATTACCAAACAACACCTTATTATCATCACCAATTTTCTTTCACTACTACCTTCTACGGTGATAATATTATTTTTAAAAAATATATATAATTGATGTTAGTATACTACTAGTTCAATATAACTATTATAATCATCTCTCAAAATTTGGCAGTTAAAAGTGCTTGGTAAGTCCAAGAAATGCTACTTATATCGTAAATTGCTATAATTGATTGACTGAGCTCTAAAATCAAATAATCTACCTACTCTTACCAAACGCTTTATATAGATTTTATGCATCTAAAGTTCGAAAAACCTCTTAGTTACCTATGATTCTCAAAAAAAAAAAAAAAAAAAAGCCTGCAATGCATTGAACAATTTAAGTAGAAAGCAGATAATTAAACTTAATCCCCGAAATTAATCCAGGTATCATTTACCCAATTTAAGTAAAAATTACCAAAATTAATCACTAAAGGTATACTATATTTAATCCCTTAGTTTTTTTTTCTGTGACATACGACTCTAATTAAATTTCAAAACATTACGAGTTTATTTTTTAAATAGGGTATTTTTAAAATTTTATTTTCAAATCAACGTAGTTTTAAATTTATTTTTCAATATGGGTATTTAGTGCCATGTACACATACAAGTTAGTATTATTTTAATTTTTAATTTTAGTATTATAAAAACAAAGAAAAGAAACTCAATTTCATTTTTTTCTTGCTCACGCATCACCATAGCCTTTTTTTTTTTTTACTTCACAACAACGGCTATCAAATTAAGTATCTTACATAACATGTGATTGTTTTGGGTTTGAATTTGAAACTAGAATCTAGACCTATGCGAACATTTTTTATTTTTATTGATTTTTTAATTCACAACAGTGGCATCATTATTCTCTAATTAATTAAAATCTTTAACCACAAAAAATAACATGGCTTTGATTTTTTCCATTACCTAGTGTTGTTGATTTGATTTATGGAAGTTAATTCTACAGATATGTATATATATCATCTTCTATCAAATACAGTTTTGTTAAAAAAAAATTGAACTTTAATTGGCATCAAGTAGAGAAAGGAGGGCCATGCTTATAATATGTTTTTGAATAATTAAAATGGTTATGAAAGACGTAGATTGACTAGAGTTTTTCATGAAAGATTAGTGAAGATCAAGATTGTCTTGAAATGAGTATGTGATTTTTTAGTTAAATTTACAAAATGTTTTGGTTTGTGAACATGATGCTTAATGGGATATTTTGGATTAATTTATACTTTATTTAGTTTATGGCATAAGATCTACAATTCTAGGATGAAAAAAAAAAAAAAAAAACCATGAAAATTCACGGTTTCTTTGAATCTGGTTTGACCCATCCATTAATTTCCTATTTTCCAGTAGGTTAATTTGCTACATGTAGCTAAAGATTGAAAATGATGATGGATTTTCGATTTAGTCCATGTAATATTAAAACATTTCAACTTAGTGGATCTACAGGAAAACAAAATGGCATGAATGCCTACATGACAAAAACATTGTTCTTTTAATAAATAATATTAAAGCGCATTTTATTTGAAAAAAAAAAGATTAAAAAGTACCTTATTGAAAGAAAAAACTCAAAATATTAATTACTTTCTTCATCCCAAATCGATTTTCTATCTTTCTATTCATATATATCCCAAAATATTTATGTGCTCAAAAATTTAAGTAATGTATTTTTTTTTTTTTTTGCAAAATACTCTTAATTAAATATATTTTGTAAAAGATTATTCGAACATAATTCTAATTTTTTTTTAAGTATTAATAAAAAACGTTAATATGATATAGTAATTAATAACTTCTTAATCTGTAATTCTCTCTATGATAATTCAAAGAAGAAAACCTATTTAAAGCAAAAGAATTGATCCATGCTACTTTTCACTCTTTTAATTTTTTTAATTCAAAACATATAGAAGTAATTTCATAGTCCAGATGCAACATAATTAATTCACCTTGAATACGCTGGCAGTATACTTTTATTGGATCCTAGATGGAGATCAAGATAGAGATCATTTTCTTCCTTCGTTTTTTTTTTTTTCCTTTCTCCTTTTTCTGGAAAAACTAAGGTTGAATTAACGTGCATATTCCATATCTTACAAATCTTGTGCCCCAAGAAAATGAAACTTAGTCTCATTGTGCCACATTTCGACTAATCTTTGGACTGATCATTTGAAACCAATTCACAGTTTCTCTTGCTATAAATACCAGTCCATTGATCCTTCATTCTGAGCCATCATCAAAACTACATTGCCGTTGATTCAGAAGTTCTTTGATTTATCAATAATTCACCATGACTATTTCCTTTCAAAATCCATTCCTTTTCTGCATTATTCTAACTTTGTTTTCGTCAAACTCTTGCCATTGCTTCCATCCCAAACTCCTCAATGTTTCAAACATATATTCTGGTTGGTCACCTGCTGGGGCTACTTGGTATGGCAGCACCATTGGTCCTGGAAGTGATGGTAATTGAAATAGAAAATAAAATATTTCACTGATAAATAAATCCATTCTACCCTTTTTCTTCATACATATATATATATATATATATATATATATATATATATATATATATTTGTGTGTGTAGGTGGAGCTTGTGGCTATAGCAGTGATGTATGGAACGCACCATTCTATAAATTTGTATCAGCTGGAGGAGATTCTCTATTCAAATCAGGCCAAGGATGTGGAGCTTGTTATCAGGTTCACCATATATATATATGTGTGTGTGTGTGATAGTTTAGATTTTTAATTCTTGACAAATAACTTTCATTAATTCCTGCATTATCTTACGTAGGTGAAATGCACATGGAATTCGAATCCTGCATGCTCAGGAAATCCATTGACTGTGGTTATCACAGATCAGTGTCCTGGAGGTCCCTGTGCCCAAGAATCTGTTCATTTTGATTTAAGTGGCACTGCTTTTGGGGTCTTGCAGATCCAATACAAAAGGTACTTCAATTTATTTGATAGCCCTTTTGTTTTAGACTTAATGTTTCAACTATATATTTTTTAATGATTTTAATTCGTTTTTGGAAAATTGTATAAAATAGTCACTAAGTAAACCTCCGATAACAATATTAACATCGATTTGATTTTTTAACCAAAACTTCGATCAATGTCGAAATGACAATCCACGTAAGCATGAGACGTGGACTTTAGCAAGCCATTTAGGACCATGTAAGATCCACATAAACAATGATAAGGAAAATCAATTATGTGGATCCTAAATGGTCTGCTAAAATCCATATGTCATGCTTACATGGATCTTATGAGATTTAGTAAAGTTCACATGTTATGTTTCGTCACGGCTATATCAACATTGATTATAATTTTGATTAAAAATCAAATCAATGCTTGTATTATTATCGGATAGATGCTTAGTTGATGATTTTTTTATACAATTTTAAAAAACGAGTTGAAAGCTGTAGTTGAATATGAAAATGGAGATGGTGAACTTAAATCAGTTGAAATAAAAGAGGCTGGGAATTCAAGTGCATGGATTTCCATGAATAGATCGTGGGGTGCTGTTTGGATGATCAACGCAGGCTGGGCTTTACGTGCCCCATTTTCTATCAAGCTAACATCTCTCGAGTCTGGCCAGACCATTGTAGCCTGGAATGTAATTCCTGCTGGATGGGAACCTGGAAAGACTTATAGATCAGTAGTTAATTTTCAGTGACGAAATATTGCAAGTACATGAAAGTTTGTGCCAGGAGAATGTATAGTTCCTTATGGGGCAGATTATATATCTTCCAAAATATATTTATCTGTTAAAAAGAAATAAATAAAACTTGAGAAATTTAACCATGAAATGAAAGAAATTTTATTTATCTAGAAAATAAATTAGAGAACAAAATAGGTTTGGCTGTACAGAAAGAATGAAGAAAATAAGTTATAGCTAAAAAAATAATCAATAAAATTCCAAAGCTACAAACTTGCAAAAAGACAATTGAGGTTAGCAATTAAACTTCTTTTCAGGCCGTTTATCTTAGGTTATCAAAATAAATAAATAACTTAGTCCCTATAGTTTAAAAAATGATTAATTGATTCCTATTATTTTCTTATCCTTTTATAGCTTAGTCCCCCATTAATTTTTTGTTAGTAAGATGCTAAGAAAGTTTATAATACTCAATGAGTAACCATTGTACAGTAGTTATTCGTTAGATCTACTATTGAGAAGAGAGATAGATAAAAAAATGAGAGAGAAAATTAAAAAAAAAATTGTAAGAGAAAGAAAATTAAAAAAAAAATTAAGCTAACATGTAAATTTTCTTATTATTTATGATGGACCCATGATATAACTATTAACTAATAAACTAAAGTAAAACGTCCAAACACCGTAGCAATACTATTTGAAATATTGTGCACACACTCACATTTCACTATTCACCCTCTCACAATTCACTGTTACTTTCACTATTTATAAATTTTTTTACACTTTGGTTCGTAATATTTTCGAACTCATATTTCGATCCACTTGTTCATTTGCTCATCTATTTTGGTTCCTGGGTGGAAAGAGAAGGTTGAGAGGAAGAGAGAGAGAGAGAGAGAGATCGCCGGTTAAGCTCATTTAGGCCACTCGACCGATGAAAATCCGAGTAAATTTGTTTATCTTTGAAAGATGAGTTTGTCCATGGTGATTTTAAGCCATTAAACAATTAGAGGACATAGATCGGAGCCAAAAAAGGAAAAAAAAATTAGATTTAATTTTGTATTTTTCTTTGTTTTTGTATGTATTAAAATGATTTTTGAGGTATTAAATGTGTTTATAGGCTTTATTCCAGTCATTTAGAGGTGTTTGGAAAAAAAAATGATATCGAAATTCAATTTTTAGAGATCTGAAATTTGATCCTCGATTTTCTGATGAGCTTTTGACAACCTCGGGTTCGTCGAAAGTTGCAGGTTTGTGTTTTTTTTCCCCTGGCAGGCAAGTTTGGCGCGCGGGCCTGCGATGCCAAGCCCAGACGTGCTGGCTGCCTGCACAGGCCAACTCCTGGCCTCCTCACTTTTTACGTTTTTTTTTTTTTTTTTTTTTGACATGCAACCTGGTTGCACAAGCCAACCAGGCGCGCCTGTCCTGGTTGGCTTGCAACCAGCAGCTTTTCTCCCCCATTTATATATATATACACATACAATAATTTTTTTTTTTTTTTACTTTTTAAATGAGTTTATATATATATAATAATAATAATAATAATAATTTTTTTTTACTTTTTAAATGAGTTTTAAATTTTATTAACATATATATATAGAGAGAAAGTATATATCTAATCATATTAATTTTATTGTTTAAATTTGTTTTTTCAATTATTTATTTCTTATTAAAATTTATATCAAATTAATTTTTTATATGATTTTATTTGTTAGTAAATTTAGTTTTTTAATATATAAATTTTGAATTAAAATTTTAGAACTTCGAGTGTTTTGTTTTTTAAAATATATTATTATAATTTATATAATAAATTATGTGTGTATGTCTTTTTTTCTTTATATAATTTAAAATATTTTTTTCGTTTTTAATTTCATATATTTTTATACATTCACATCATAAAACAGACTATCAAATTAAAATGATTTTTTTAAATAATTTTATATATTTTATCCTATCCGTAACATAGTGTGAGTAAAAAATCTAGTTATACATATATAATAATTTCTCCTTTTAAGTATTAAGTATTATAAAATTTCTCGTGAGACATTGGTTGTCGGGTTGGCATCAATTTTCTGGTAAGTCTTTGTTCCTGATTTAACCATCGAAGGGTTAATTAATTATTATAAAGCTAGAGGCACTCATGTTTTAGGGAGAAATAAATCCTGCCAAATGATAGAAAAAACATGAAATCCTATAAGAATTGTGTCGTTGTACCATAAAAACAAATAGCAGGAAATTTTTTAACTAGCCAAAGTCCTAATTTCACCTTCGCCACAAGTTTCTGCAAGGTAGAAGTTGCATGTAGTAAAACTATTAAGGATAAAAAATTTAAGATTAATATCCTGACTGCCCTTATATAATCGATCGAATTTTCAATAAAACGTTTTTCATTTATTCTTATATTTTGAATTGGTTTCTAATAGATCATTTTGATTAAAATTTACAATCAATTTTCAAAAATTAATCTTTATATTAATAAATATAAATCATTTATATTAAATAACAAAAATAATTTTATTAAATCATATACCATGTGCAAATTACATATTTTATTTTACCGAAAATTTTATCAAATTATAACTAAAAGAATAATTTAAAAACCGACTGAAAATATAAAAATAAATAAGAAGTGTTTTCTTTTTAATGAGAACAGATTGAAAATCTAACCCATTATATAAAGACAGGACAGGTCAGGATATTAACCTAAAATTACAACCAAACGTAATGTGTTTTTACATAATCATAACATGTACCTGCGAACCTAATGCTAGATACTGAGATATAAATAGAGATAGTGGAAAATTTATTCTGGTAAAAAGCCACCATTCCTGTCCCCAAAAGATGCTCTGGCAATGCTGTGACTGTTCCGAAGAGAACTTTAATCCAATATCCAAAAATAATCAGATTTATTGCAGAACCCTCAATCCATTCCAAAACTAGAACAGAGCTTCTATCTCCTAGCGTTTCAGCTTCAATGAAGGGCCAGAAATTTTCATGAGTTACCCACGATTGGTGAGCTTCTTAAACATAGCCACATAAAATGCATTCAACAGCTTCTCGTCTCTTGTACGCTAGTCAATTCGAGAGCTGTCACTGTAAGTGGACTGTGATCATATAGAAACTGATGGAAGGAAAGAAGAGCACGCCTATGTGATCAAAATGAGTCTCTCATTCCACCAACTGAACCTCCATAAGATCTCAACCCATACACATTCAAACGGCCATAAATCAAAATCAGAAGTTCCTATCTTGTTAAGTTTTCCCTCACAGTACAAACCTTCACTAAATAAGCATTCATGAATATCATTGTGGACCGTTGCTAGGCCAACTCCAATAAGTCACAACTCCATGATGCATGACTACTGCCTCTTATATAGGCTTAAGTGTAGCTTTTGAATGCGAACAGTTATTTCCTCTAAAAATATCTATATATGAGAACAGATGGCAATAAATAAGTTGATTTACTTAGGGATGACCTACGAGAGCCATATTGTGTCAAAATCTATTTCTATCAAATATTCAATAGTACTGTTGTGGAGGCAGGTATGTTCCACCGCTGCCATTATAGCTACTAACACTGGCAACACCCTGCATGCAGCAACGATACAGGTATTAAGTGATACATGCCGAAGAATGCAAGTGAATATGCATGCATAGGTTTCAAGAGGCATGCACTCATAGACAATGTCAGGAGGTTTTTTAGTTTCAATCTTGGCAAGGAAATTGATTGCTGATGAAAGAGAGTTGTATTCGATAAAAGCTAAAAACATCAATATAATTATCTTCCAACTCCAAAGTCCAAAGTTTACCAATTTTCAAATAAAAAATTACTAACAAGGAAAAGAGTTTTAAAACCACTCCCAAGTTATCACTTGGTGGAAACGAACTTGTTTGGGAAAATTTAGCGCAGCAAAGAAAAAAAAATCCAAAGGGATGTAGAATTCGTGGCCGTAGTTGACAGAGCAGATAATGTGCACTGATTTGTACAAATAACGGCCAAAGTTGGTAGATGGAGATGTAACTTAGACAAGAAAGGATACCTGATATACGATGTGGCTTGTGTGATTTTGAGCATAGGTAGGTGGAACAGCTGATCCTACAATAACAAAAAAATTATCAAAGCAAGAGACAAGTATTGTATCAGCAAGCATTATTATATGGAGAATAATAGAATAAATTCACCCTAGAGACACCCTAATGTCAGACCATTTAGAAGTAAATAAACTTCAACCAGCCTAAAACGTTAAAACACTAAGCTATGTATTGAGGCTAGATGGCATATTCCAGATACAGAAAAACAGTTCTACTCATATTTGATTTGTAAGATTACACATACAAAACACCACACACCTCAATCGAGTAAATAGCGGGTGGCATGCTTTGAGAGAAGGGAAAATGGGTGAAAGAGCATATAGACAAAATTGCACCAGAAGTTCTACAATTTCAGAAGACAATAGTGTGAAAGAAGCCAAACAATTAAAACCACAACAGAGAACCTCTACCAGTATCCATAACTGAATAAAAATATTGAGAATGGATGACATTATTCTTGAGCACAGCAATAGCACAAGTCACATTCAATTTGAGAAATTACAGATTCAAAACATCAGAGATAATAACACATTCGCAAAAGAAAATAGCCAGTGTGAGGCTTGAGGAGTGAGGGGCAGGGGATGAAGGAGTATTCCGGAAAAAAAGAAGAAAAAGGTGCACCAGAAGTTCTACAATGTCAGAGGTAAATATGTTGAACGTAAAAAACACAAGGGAAGTGTAAGAGAAGCCCAGGTATAGCACCACCGTGAAACCATGAAATTTAACAGCAATAAGCAGCTACATAATCTGCCAAGAATTTCAGTGGCTGGCTACATACATTACAATGATGCATTTATAGTACATGCAGAAGAATCTCTCTTCAAAGGAATTGTATTTATTTTTATTTTTTTGGTCTTTTAGCAATGATATGAAGACTAATCCAAGCCCAACTCCTCTCCAAAGAAATAAAAAATATAAAGAAAAGTCCAAGTGAATATTCAAACAAAAAATTATATTTTCACATTGGACTTAGAAAGTTTCAGCAATGTCACTTAAGAAGCAGGATTAGCATGCACTAAAGGTTCAGATGGCTTAAGATGCTACCTCTCACATAAGCAGATCCCTGGCTGCCTTGACCAGTGTACCCACCAGCTCTGCTGACAAATTACAACCTAATAAGCATTTGAATCAAAGTAGACGCTCGAAACTAAAGGAAAGACAATCAACATTAGAAAGAACCTTCTCAAACTATAATCATATGCAACATAGCCTTGCTTTTCTACAGCAGGCTCAATATATCCTGCATGAGTTAAGGCTTGTCTTCCAAGGCCAGGTTCGACATATCTAGGAGAAGGTTGGCGTTGATTCTGAAAGACGTGTTGAAGGTAACTCGCAGGAGAATGACCTTGATGCCCATAAGCAGCCTCAGCATACCGTGCATAATGTCGAGCTGGTTTCTTCATAGCCGGTTCTATATATCCAGCATGGGGTTCCTGGAAAGAATCATTTCATATGATCAAACCCACAGTCCTAGATTAATGGGCAGGAATATATAAGTTACCATATCAGAGTGTTGCCACTTGGATCCAGAAATTAAACTGTTCCCCTCCTTACGGTGAGGTTTTCTCACTGAATTTCTATTGCTTTGCCTACCTTGAGCAATTCCTACAAATTTTCACCACATAAGACTGTTTCACAATAACAGCTTCAAGATAACACAAACAAGTCAAACGGCACAAAACTACCTCTAGATTTCTTTGATTGCCTCTTATTAAGATCATGGTCGATCTTTCTCTTCCCACGATCATTTGTTTTCTGAGGCAAATTCTTTATCTTACCATCTGTTTTTACTGGGTTGGCATCCTGACCTTCACTAAAACTGGTTCGCTGGTTTTTTGGTTTACCTACTTTGGTCCTATTCAACAGTGAAGGAGCCTGACTCTCTTCTTTAGCGATACCTCTTCCTCTGTTTCCAGTTCCCTTAGACTTGTCACCATGAGTTTGCCCTTTCATTTCAGTCTCAACCTCTTCATTATTTGCATGATGTTTACCCCATCTCTTTTTCTTCTGCATCTCACCTCTAAATCTTGGCTTGGCAAGGTCAGCTTTAACCTGAGACATAAATTGAAACAAAGATGTTGCTTTAAAGGATTCCACACACACATAAATGTTAAGGCATCCAGGTAATTACCTTAGTTTCTCCTCCAAGCTGGGCATTATTGATCCCTTCCACGCAAGCACGTGCACTTTTATGAGAAGTAAAAACAATAAATCCAAAATCCTTGTGCTTTGCACCAAAATTCTGAGGTAACCTGACATTTAAGATCTTGCCATACTGTTTGCAGAGCTCTTTTAGCTTCTCTACATTCCAAGACTTCACCAGCCCTTTAACATAAACAGTTGTCACCTACAAGAAGAAAAGCTACAGGCTCTGTTTACAGGACCAACACCAGTAAAACAGAAAAGTGATTTAATAGTAATCTAAAAGCACCCACTGAAACCTAAATATTTCCTGGTGTAGATAGATTTCAGTTAACTGTGTAAAAAACTGATGATCATATTCGCAACTTTAGAAGCCAATATAGTAAATGGACTAACAACTATTTAGGCATAATCAACTCAGATGTCTGATGACGTGATTTTACATTTTCAACAACTAATTCACTAATTAGCCAACTGTGATAGCTACACTTAGCTATAGGACATGGTTCACTCCATTAGTCATGTCTTCATGTGTGCAAACTATGTGTTTGTTACCAATTTTTCCCCTATAGATTCATCCGTTTGTTTTCCAAAAAAAAAAAGGAAAAATGAAAGAAAACAAGAGATATGGAGAGAAAGAAAGAGAGATAGTGACCAACATGGATTTCTGGTTGCTTTAGTTTCCCGGGCTTGGTTAGAGGAGGATGTTCAACCTCTTCAGAATCATCACAGCCCTCGTTATCTTCCACATCATCTGCACTGTCCCCTTCCTCGTCACAACCTTCTTGGACTTCAGTACAGTTGTCCAAATGCCCAAGTGATTCTATGACTTTGTTATCTGCACCATCTCCATTATCTTCCATATCATCTGCACTCTTCAGTTCCTCATCATCATCATTTTGGACTCCAATAAATTCACCTAAATGCCCTGGTGATTTCATGACATTGTTGACTTCTTTGTCATCATTATCTTTTACACCATCTATGCTCTCCCTTTGGCATGCGCTCTTTCCTTCCTCATTACCACCTTCTTGAACTCTAGAAAAGTCATTCAAAAGCCCAAGTGATTCCATGACTCTGTTGTCTTCACCATCTCCATCTTCTTTATCATCTGCACTCTTCAGTTCCTCATCACCATCATCTTGGACTCCAATAAATTCATCCGCATGCCCTGTTGATTTCATAACATTGTTAACTTCATTGCCTTTGTTATCTTTTACACCATCTACACTCTCCCTTTCACATGCACTCTTTCCTTCCTCATCGCTGCCTTCTTGAACTCCATCAAAGTCATCCATAAGTGCAGGTGATTTAATGACATTGTTATCTTCGTCATCTTCCACATTATCCACTCTTTTCCCCACCTCATCGCCACTGTCTTGAACTCCAGAAAAGTCATCCAGATGTCCTGGTGATTTCATATCGTTTGTACCTTTTCTGCATTCATCATCTTTTACATTATCTGTTCCCTCCCTTGCATCTGCACTCTTTGCTTCCCCATCGCCACCTTCTTGGACTCCATAAAAGTCATTCTTGTATCCAGGTGATTGGATGACATTGCTATCTTCATTGTATTCATCATCTTCCACATCATTTGCACTCTTCCCTTCCTCATCGCCACCTTCTTGAACTCTAGAACAATTATGCATGTGCACAGGTGATTTCAATACATTGTTATCTGCAGTGTCTTCAACATCTTCCAAACCATCAGCACTATTTCCTTCATTATCACCAGCTTCTTGCACTCTGGAAATGTCATCCATATGATCAGGTGATTTCACAACTTCATCAGCCGCACCAGCAGTCTCTTTTTCAACAGAATTCTGGTATGCACCTACAACATGTATTTAGAATCGATAACCCCTCAATCATCAATCAGCAGGGGCCATGTATTTGAATTTGGTGCAAAAAAAAAAAAAAAAATGGAAAAAGCATAATTTCCATCAGATAAAAACAAGAAACAAGGAAGATGGCATGTAGATAACATAAGTACAAGCAGTTACATGCATAGGTTTACCAGAGCATGACAAGGTGAAAGTCCCATTTCCAAATTTGATTTCGTGCATGATGCAAATGTAGCAAGATAAGAACACTAGGAGCTGGAACAGCCATTCTATATAGACCAAACTTTTAATATGTTTCTACATCAGAAAATATCAACAGAAGCTTCCACATCCATTTAACATGAGACTCTTCTAAAATCAGTTGAAGCAAAAATAACTTTCAAATTAAGGTGGTTTCTACATTCCGTAAAATGCTACCAGCAGTAGCTCTTGCTTTATTTTTGGTTTGTGATTTGTTCAAAAACAATCATGTCATCCACCAGCACTGCTCTTTCGATAGATAAAAAGCAAAAGCTAATATTAATAGAATACCTTCAAGCACATTCAGTTCCAAACTTCAACATAATATGAAATGCATATATGAAAACCAAAACAATCATCCATGCAAGAAACTATCAGCAATCAAACCAAGATGCACTCTTATTTCCAAAATACCCATAATCTGGGCATCAAAAAGTAAGCATTTTCACTAAAGCTTCACTCTCTAACTTCCGTAAAACATGCAAATAAGCAACTTTCCCCTAATCGTATCACATTATATTTTCAATTTCCACAATGCCCTTCATCTCAGAAACACAAATTATCCATTTGCATTAAATTTTTCACTCTAACTCACAAAAAAACCAAACAATCACACAGCTTTCCTCTAATCCTATCAAATTAAATTTCTAACTCCCACAATTCCCTCATCTGGGCATCACAAAATTTGCAATTTTATCAAATTTTTCATTCTCTAATTTCCATAAAACAACAAACATTCAATCATGTAAATAATTCTCTAACACCAAAAAATAAAAAAAATAAAAAAATAACACAAACATAATAACATCATTACCTTCATTACTAATGAAGTTCAAATTCTCTTCTAAAACACCATCCAATTCCCACTTCTCAAACGCAGCAACCCACGATTTGTCGTCCAACTTCTGATCATTATCTCCTTCCAACTGCTCTCGGCTCTGCTCCAAATCATCATCATTTTCCGTTATCTCTTCTTGTTTAATCTTCACTTCTTCCTCTTTAATTTCTTCCTCAGCGAATTGAACTGCTTGTCGTTCTGGAATTTGAGCGGATTTCTTGGTGGTGGTTTTGGCTCTGTTTCTTGTTGATCGACGAGGAGGCATTGTCAAAGCGTGAATTTTTTCTCTGTTAGAGAGTATAATCGACAGAGTGATGAAAATAAAGAACGTAAAGCAAAAGAGCCGTAGCCATTCGTCTTTTTTTTTTCTTTTTTTTTTTCTTTTTTTTCAAATTTTGCATATTAAAACTAATTTTTTAAAAAATTATTGGATAGTTCTTTGATCATCTTTGAACATCATAAAATTACCAATTTTTGTTCCACAATTATTTTTTAATTAAAATTTCTCATTTTTTTTCTTGAAAAATAACATGGAACTAATGAAAATGAATAAGATTTGAATTTTTTTAATATTGAAAAAAAATGGAAACACTAACTTAGAGATGATGAGTGAATTATAAATTAGTACTTTTATTTTTGAAAAATAAATTAATCTATACTTTTCATATTTTTTTTAAAAAAAATCAATTGTTTAGTCATTTTATCTATTTTATGTTTTTATATTTATTTTTTTTCAATAGAAAATGAAAAATATGGATAGATATTATGAAAAGATTAGTGAAAAAAAAATATTTTTTTAAAATAAAATAAAGTATGATCTCAAAAAATAAATAAATAATTTTTTTAAAAAATAAATAATTCATTCATTTCTAGAAATAATTTATAATTTACTATATATATAATTGATTGGATGATCTCTAATGGGCCTTAAGCATGTCTCGCTATACTTAAAAATGGGCTAAAGGCTTTACAATGTGTTTGGATTAAAAGCATTAGGCTCAAAATTTATTTTTATTTTTTTAATGCATAATGGCTGATGGCAGAGGCCCAGCTGGCAGAAGAGGACTATTGCCACTCCCTAGACCTAAAATTTTCATAGCAAACCTTGGAGATTAATTTACTACCATTAACCCCAACATTTTTTTTTCCCCAAGCTGTTAGATGAGACTTATAAAGAAAAAATAAGAGCAAACCTAGAGAATCTTATTGACAAATCTTTTATTATTTTTTTTTAATAATGTTTTTTTTAGATTTTTTTCTCGCTATTTGCTTTTTCCATCAACGAGTTAAAGAATTTATAATATAACCTAAGATATATGTCCGTGAATTTTATCGTTGCTTTGCTATGATTCTTTTTGAGACCACCTTTTTAGTTCCACTTTTTTTTGTCTTTGCTTTTTATTAATTTATTGTTCTCTCTTTTTTCTTTGCGGTCTTTTATTTACTCATTAGGTGTGTTTTATATATTCCTTTACCTATATATATAATAAAAAAAACATATATATGTCCATTAATTTGGTATATTAATAAAGAAAATTACTTCTAATTCAATTTTTTTTTCAAATTTGATTTTTCTTTGAATTCAAATATATAAAATTGACATTAATTTTATCAAAATTCTTTTAGTTAATAATTTCACAAATTTTCTTTCATTTTCTTGTACCCCAAGTCAATATGAATTATAAAATGAAAAAATGACTTTAATAGCGTATTTTATCCATTTGCTGCTTTGATTTGGAAAGCATTATTCTGACGGATAATAATATGTGCTTATATATTCTAACATTTGCAAGCAACAAAACTGAGAGCTATAAAGGTCAAGCTAAGAGTACAAATAAAACTTGAAATTTTATTAGAAAATTTCGAATTTGAATTCTAAAAGAGATGGATTGAAATTTAGGAATGAAGGAAGATCCCTCGTTATGTAACTCAAACTTAATTTTCCATCACAGAAGAAGAAGAAGAAGAAGAAGAAGAAGAAGAGAAAAGCTAGAAAGATCAATAGAGACACCCAAACTTAAAATTTTCTTGCCATTTCCGCACTTCTAAGCCTAGAAAGGTGTAAAGCTCAACTGAAAGGTGGCAAGACTGGCCTAACTGCAGAGCAGTAATTTGCCTATGACAAATTGCATTGAGGGAATTTGAAGTAGAAAAGATTGCATTTACACTCTTTGGGATATCAAGAATTCCTTTACCATGAATTTTACCAAGTTCTTAGGACCATCTAAAGGATGCTACTCAATAAAAAAATGATGGAAAAATAAAGAAAAGTAACCATCGTCACTCCTTACCAGTGAAAATAATCTCCAATAATTCACCAAAAGTGATTTTAAAGTTTCCAATTACCCATAAAACAAAAATAAGTCAAAATGTTAAATAAATAATTTGATTTTGACATTATTTCGTGGACCAATGAGAAAAACTGTCTGCTTCGATGTTCGATGGCATTATGTGTTTTAGGTGGCCTTCTTTTGAGCCATATAAAAGGTAATGATGAATTTAGAAGAATGTTGGGAGATTATAATTAGTTTTTGCAATGAGTATGAATCATGATAATTGGGATTTGATGCACATACTTATTTGCTTTTCTTGTTGATTAGAAATATGTTTTAGCTTTAAACACCTAAAAAAAAAAAGATAGAAGCATTCATGCTTCTATCTGTTTTTTTTTTTTAATTATCAAATTATTAATCTCCGCATAAATAAAAATTAAATGTTTTTTTTTAACAATTGTAAAGATACTTTTCACATTCACTTGGTAGATTTTAAAAAATAAATTCTTTTAAATATTAATTTTAAAAATCATACGTATCTTTTCTAACGATCGTAATGATACAACTTTCACGTTCACTTGATAAATTTAAAAAAATAAATTCGTTTGAATACTAATTTTAAAAAGCAAAATTTCTTTGAATGGTAATTTCAAAAATCAAACTTATCTTTTCTAACGGTTGTAAAGATGCACTTTTCACAACCATTTGATAAATTTTTTAAAAAATAAATTCTTTTGGATGCTAATTTCAAAAATTGAACTTGTCTTCTCTTATAATTATAAAGACATACTTTTACATCCGCTTAATAGATTTAGAGAAATAAATTCCTTTAAATGTTAATTTAAAAAAAAAAAACTTCAAAAGGAAAAAAAAAGAAAAAAAAAAAAGAAAGGTATTCTTTACTTCGAAACTAAATTATGAAAGAGAATGAGCTAATTACATTGGTAATTGCCTTGATAGTTGATACAATAATCACACACACAACGGGCCAACTGGCTTTAATTTGGCAAATTCGATAGCCTCAATCATTCAATGATGTCCATTCTTTATAACCTTTTCCCTTTTTTTTTTTTTTTTTTTTTTTTTGGGTTTTGCTTTCATGTACTGAAACTAAATCTTTTCCAAGTTAGGGAATAAGTAAGCTCCTTATGTGACCTTAATAAATCCTTACATGGGCTCTCCTAAAAGGAGGATTGTGAGGAAGAAGATTTATCCAGCTTAAATGGTGGCAAGGCACATCTCTAAAGCAAATAACAGCTCAAAGAAACAATAAAGTATCATCATTCATGGCTAGACTTGAGCAGAACCATCATTGTTATACCAAATACTGATCAAAAGCACGAATAAAGTTAAATCCAAAAAGCAGGATACAGACAAAAAGACACCACCCTCAAGGCCTTAACAGTGAATCGATAAATCTTACACCACCAATAAGAGTTAACCAGACTATATGTATGTACTTAAAGTTGTGAACTTGTGATTGGTTATGGTAATAACTTTGTTATTTCTCATTTTTGTTGGTATTGATTTTTGATACTGTAATCTCTTGGTAGATGATGCTAGAATGCGACATGTCATAAAGGAAAAGAAAGATTTCTTTACCTCATTATAGCAAAGATACTGGAAAATACTATAAAGCATGGATAGTGAGTATAGAGAATGGCCACATGGTAATGAGTTAAACCAATCTATTTCAACATCATCTCACAGATCTTACATAGATGGGATTCCAATTCAAAAACAATCAAGACTTGTATAAGTGGGAAGAAAAAGATGTATGATAAAAGAAAGTTAATCATGGAGGAGCATTGAAAGAGTGAAGATTCTTGTAGAAAGAAAGTCCTGTCCTATACCAATCATTATACCTCCTTTCCTTTAACAAGAAAATGAATGGAATGAACAATAAAACCATACCATGACAGTGGAAAAATGCTCTCCTTCCTAGTTGGTGAGCAGTCAGCCTTACCGACAGGAAACTGTGTCTCCACCAAATTGACTAGCAATGGCAAAACCAGAGGTAAAATAAGAAATAAGTTTCATCTGTCTCCGAGTGCACTTGACTAGAGGAAGAGAGAAAAAAAGTGTGAACACATTGATCACGTTTGTTCACACATCCAATAGGTCTTTTTCCTTCTTTTCACTGGAGGATAAATCAAAGTCTATGCATATGACAGAGAGAGAGAGAGGGGGGGGGGGGGTCCAAATTTAAAGTACTTTATGGTATTGCAGATGATGAAAGAAATAGAAAGAATGATTTTAAAGTCTATCGCCATCTCCAGACGAAAAAGGAACAGGTATCCTAAAAATGGAGCACTTCTTTACCACTGCAAGATAAATAGCACCCCATTTACTATTCTGGCTTGCATTCTGCATTTTCATTTCTCAGTTTTATTTTCCTGTGTAGTGTTTCCAGATTAATTTGATACTCTATCAATTTATCGTGGATTTGATTATTTCATCTTCAGGAATTCCACATAAAACTTCAAGCAAAGGTTGAACTTTCCATGATGCATATAGGGTATGATCTTCTGCGTGTCATGCTATAAGCGACATCAAATGCCAGAGTAAATCACTTCAGCAACGTAGATATAGATTTCTAATAAGTTGATATTATGGCAGAACATGAGAGCTAGAAAGAGCAGGTTGAAGAGGGTTCATGTGTGCACATATGAAGCACTGCATGAATGAAAGCTAAAATTTAGTTTCAACGAGCTGACATTTTTTAAGCAACAACCAAAAGAATTTGATAATACAGATGCCACCTGCTTGCTGAGTTGTAGTAACCAATAATCACCGAAATGTAGGATCAGTTCGTGTTCATTGCAATATCCCTTTCAGCCATCCTATGTGCCTCTTCACGCCGACAGCCCTCCTTGCTTCTGCTTTCCTCAAGGCTTTTTAGCAATCATGCCAAAGCCTAGCCCTATCAATTCGGACATCAAAAGTATTAAAAAAGGGCCCAGCCAGAGAGTAAGAGCATCACAAAATTGGAATGTTTAAAAAACAAGTTACCGGACTGACATGTATAACCTCAGCGAAATTAATAATTTAAAAGAAAAAGAAAAAAAAACTGTAGAGAGAAAGAAGCGATGTGAAAGAAGGCCCCCCTTAGTCCTTACTTTTCCTTGACCATGACAACTAAAGCATCGAGATGGACATCCACTCTGCATAGTGGGCTCAGCATTCTCATAAACAGACGACACTAGTGATACAGACAAGTTACATCAGTAAGGAGAGCTTCTTTGAAAACAAAGATTCACTCTCGAGTTCTTCCAAGGTTGACTCGTGTAGTAACTAATCTGGTTCACACTATCATCAGCTCAAGCCAAGCTTACCCTGCAGCAAAATTATACTTCCAAACTTTTAACCAATGTCATTTTTTTTCCCTTTCGCAACTTTGCCTTTTTGAAGTAACTCGGATCAATTTTACATTCCACCAAGCATAAACCTTTTTCATTTGTTTCTATCACAGAACAAGCAATGTGCAAACCACAAAGTGAGATATTTCACTACCTTCCAAAGTGAGATGTTCAAATATCCTGACTTAATTCAGTCAGTGTTACCAAACAAACAAATGCTCAGGAATTGTTATTATGCATAGTTTGGCGGGCTGATCGTTTGACATTGACTGCATATGTTCTTCGTAAGAAAATAGGGAGGAACAAAAAAAAAAGAGAGAAATATTTGAAATGTCAACAAAAACTTTTCAGCAGCAAAGCCTTCTTAGGGATCTGAATGGATAATGTGGAGATGGCAACGCCACACAAGTAACTCTAATGGTTCCACACAGACAGCATATTTGTATGCCCACCTGTAAACAAGACTCAGGACATAGATAAATGAGTGAACTGCCAAAAGGTAATTATCAGACTTATACTAAATTAGCAGCATAAATTTGAACATTTGATGCTAATCCATGGTATTGATAGGAGGATTGGTAAAAAAGAGCCCCACAAATCGTAATCGGGGAAGTGACAGCAGCCTGGTTTGTGATAAATCCTGCAGATCAATATAGTTCTAAACTTCATGCATGGTTATAAGATGATGCATAAACCATATGGAGAAAGACAGAAAACAGCACTGGAACAACTGGAATTGAATTTCTTTTTCCCTTTTTCCGGGTAATAAATTTCAGAAGGCATCATATCATCCTTGATTTAAACATTTGCTTTCGGTGGGCTCACATGATTTCCCTCGTTGCTTTATATCATTACTTTCCTCGTTGTGTCTACACCTTTTCATTTTAATTATTATTGTTCTGTAACAAAATTATTGTTTCTTCTAAAATGACAATTTCCCAGTTCGGTCATTGAAGTAATAATTCTTCACTACTTAAAATCACTAATGTAATAAATAAAGCTGGTTGTTACTGCATAAGAATTCATTGCAAATGATTCATGTAACATTGCCTAATGATGAATAAATCCAGCGACCTCATTTTTGCAACATTTAGTCATCTATTGAAAAAGGCACTCCTAAGAAAGTATTTGTGCTAGTTCACCATATTGGACAAGAAAAACCTGTTTCAAAGTTACTTTCCTTGGATGACACCAATACCAAAGCCGACGCCAACTTTCTTTAGTAGTTACGGTAAAATGAAGAAGGTACTTATTCAGTTCAAATTCTCAAAACCTACACAGGTCAAAAGGTTTTCATAAAGTCAAAACCCACAAGCAGCATTTTTTCTGAGGAACTTATCCACTATTGTTTCTAAAATTGCTTTCTCTTTTCTGGCATAACACTTGCAACAAAACGAGGAAACATATTTCAGACGTGGATTGTTTTATTTTTCAAGCCACCACAGCAAAGACAGATAATCCAAACAAAACTTAGGTTTATTCTGCTCAATTCTTAAAACTATTAGGATGCCTGACAAAACAAAGTTTTGGAATTAGGGGCATTGCCTTGAACTTAACACAAAACAAACAACACAATTTGCTTATATTCCTGGGCCATTTTTTTGTCTGTAACCAAAAAGCCAAAATCGTGCCCAGGGAAGATAAAGGATTCATTGAGATCATGCACCTAAGCAGTTTTAGTGATACATTGTTTTATCCTTCCCAATATATTCTACCCTAACCATACCTCTCACATCTTCAACTAGAAGTGAAACGAAAACAAATACAAGAGAGAAAGAATTCAATAAATCCTATACTTTCAGAATTCTACAGGAGTTAAAAAAAAAAAAAAAACATTACAGTGATGGTGCTTCGACAAAGACCTCATTGAGCATGTCATCTTCACAGCCTGCCATGCGGAACAGCTCTCCATCCTTTTCTTCTTCACTTGAGAAGTCACGTCTTTCAAGCTTCGCATGGGCTGCAATGAATATCATCTTCTGAGCCCGTTCAAGGCCCACCCTTGAGTTTCTATGGATAAAATACCATTTCATGCAAGACCAATTGCACTTAAACCCGCTTGAGGTCGCATGGAGGAAGATGAGCCTAACTGCAACCTTACCTAATGTTTTATACTCACTGAGGCAAGTTTCCCACACTAGTCTGCTGCCTTGAGGATTTGCGATTTTCATCTTTCCAGTCAAAGGGTCTTGCTGCTGAACCTGAACAGCCTTTGCATACAGTGGGTCTAACCCTTCTGATCTCCATTTCATAAGCTCCATTAAGGCAACATGAGCTTCTTCTCTGGAAGCTAAACGGGTTATAAGCTTATCCACATCCTTTTCCTGCTCATGTGTCAGGCACTTGAAAGGTGGAAGGTATTTTCCACTCGTGTCCCTCATCAAATAACGAGGGTCGAGTATAAATGCAGCAGACCAAGCTGGATGATAATTCTTTTTGAATCTCTTTTCAACTATTTTCTCAACTTGGCCTTCAGCAATATTGAATCTTGCACACCATTCCTTCACTTTTGCTTTCAACTCTTGCCAGAGAGGAAGGCATCGCCCTATCAGTGGCCGCTCAGCCTCAATCTCTTGAGCCATCCCTCTAATGAGCTTCATTAATGAATAAACAGCATCCAACTCATTCCAAAAACCCTCACTCTGAATCATCCCCGAGATCTCCCTAGCGACAGGATCCTCCACACATATCAGCTTATATGACTCGTCTAAGATAACCATTTGGAGCACACGGGCACAGCTCAATATTTCCTCCAACATTGCATAAACAAGCACAGAGTCCTTCACACAATCACATTTGCAACAAGGAACTCGAAGCAACCCAGCGAAATCAAGCTCCTGCATCCTGTACTTCTGGAAGCTACTCCTAACTTGAGATGTATTATTTACAAAATTAGCAAGCTTCAAGCAATTTTCAATAACAGTCCTGAAAAGTTGAAGCTCCTTGCTAAAATCCTTGATCAGACTAATAAACCCCTGAACCTGACAAGAGAGATTCACCATCCACTGATACTGAATCTCCAAGTTCCTCAATGCCTCGGCCTTGTACTTATCAGAAACTATCCCCACGCATCTCTGCAAACCACTACCACATATCCCCGTCACTGCCTCCCACATAATCTCCTCTGCATACTTCGACGACACCGATCCTCCTCCAGTTATCACTGCCTTGTGATACAAACTAGTTCCATTTGGAAGATTAAGACTAAACTTAACCAAATTATCTTCCCCGCTACAACAATTATTGCTCTTCCATCCATTACATGCAACCTGAAAGAACATAGCATCTCTAATTCTAGCTTCCACCTCAGATTTTGCCTCATGAAACCTATTGTCAAGCCTAGCACCAGACAAGTCCCTCCTTGACAAACAAGGTAGGCCAACTTGAGTAAGGAAAGCTCTAAACTTTGGATGCTCAAGACTTGAATATGATACTGACCCACATACCTCATAAAACCAATCACTCAATAAGTCAAGAGCAGAATCAATCTGCTCCTTGTTTAACAAAGGACCAGGTGAAGCTTTTGGACTTTTAAGTCTCTTAACACTATCTTCCAACATTGCTAATGCACCCAAATCCTCTTTTCCACCAGATAACACCAAATCCTGACCTTTTGGAGTAAACCCAGAATTAAAATAACCAACTTGGTCACAGTATTTATTGGACTCAACTAAAGCTAGAGACTTTAAAGCAGTACCCATTTGAGAGCTTCTCTTTCTATGGTTATTTGAAGGTGGTGAAGGCAAAGAAGATATAGGCAACGGAGAAATGGCTGAATTGGGTCTTGAAACTGATACAAAATTAGGACAAGTTCCCTTTTTGAGATGTTCGGTGGCGGTTCTTGATGGGTTTGAAGCAGAAAAAACAGCTTCACATAAACAACACCTAAGTTTAACTGCTTTGGGGAGATTTGTATCTGGGTGTTTAATCAAAATTGGCTCTAAATGAGCCCAATACCATGCCCCTTTACCCTTTATTGCCTTTGTTTTAACAGTAACCAACCCTTCATATCTCTTGTTCACAGCTCTGATTGCTGTATCTTCATGTAGAGAAATAGAAGGGTCGCTTGGTGTTGAACTCGTTGAAGCCATTAGTGAAAACTGCTTTAGACCTTCAGTTTACTTCATTTTGATGCCATGTGTGATCTTTTCATGACCCATGAGGTTAGCAAATAGTGAGTTCGGTGGTTGAAGGATGAATTTAGTGTGTGTGGGGGACGTGTTTGTGGAATTGTCTAGCTGGAGTTGAAATTTGAAGGAGGAAAAGGATCGAAGAGAGGAGAAAAATGGTGTGTGATATGAACGGAGGGAGAGAGAGAGAGAAGAAGAAATAGGTAGCAGCAACATGTATATTTCCTACGTCATGCCTTTAGTGGTTTGTTGTCACTGTTTGGCTTGTGAGCAGGGAGGACTTCGTAGTCTGTACTGAGCCAAAGCAAAGTCCATAGCCAGCAACATATGTAGTTTCACTGTCTGAATTTATTTCCCTAAATACATCAAACTTAATTTGCATATAAAACCAAAAACTTTATTTCCATTTCACTCAGGGAGATTTTTGGTAACTGAAGACTTAAATATTATTCAAAAATATAAAATATATATTTAGAAATATATCAACGAATTAAAATTTTATATTATTATATAAAATAGATTGAATTATTTATCGAAACAAAAAAAATCAATAAAAAAATATAATGTTTTTAAATAAAATAATATTAAATTGAATAGTTAGTTTTTAAAATAAAAGAAAAATTTTTTTTTCAAAAATAAAGAGTCTAATTTATAACTTACTTTTGAAATGGTATGCCTATTAACCATTTTTTAGTTAAAAAAAAAGAGTTGTATCTCATAACCTAGCAAGTGAAATTGCAAGAAATATAGGATGACCTTTTGAGTACCTAAGATTCCTTACCAATGTTGTTGTATCTCAAAACCTAGTGGTACTTGTTTTTTTTCAAATAGGTAGGGTTGTTGGTCGTAATAAAAGGGGAAATGACAAGTAAAAGAGTTCAAAATTTATTGATTGTTAAGGAAGAATTTTGTGTGACAGGAAAGAATATTGCCACAAAAAAAAAAAAATAATAAAAAAAGCATCTGGGACAAATGGAGCTTACGAAATGGAGATAAAAATAAAAAATAAAAAATAATAATGTTAATTAATGTTTCTTTTCTCTCTCTCTCTCTTTCTTTCTTTCTTTTTTTGTTTTTTTTTTTCCCTCTATCTCTAATTTGCCCCTCTCTCCTATGTGATGAATTTTAGGGATTAATAAACAGTGAAATATATGTTCACTCTTTTTAAATTTTTTTATACCCATAAGGTATTTCAGATTTAAAAATTCAAATTAATTTTTCGTTATTACGTCGGATGCATAAAACAAAAAAAAAACTATTCAAAAAGTTTTTTGCATGTACAAGATTAGAATTCAAAATCATTTGTTTAAATAATTAGAGTTTTTTATACTTAAATTAATCTTCTTAGGTCTCTTTTAAATTTTTTATTGATTTGTTCCAACTATATCATCCCAACAATTAGCATCTACACGAGTGGATTTTCTCATAATGTAGCTTCATTGCAGTCTACTTGGAAGCATTAATTTGAGGCCTATGTCTCCAATGATTCTCTTTGATCCCTATGTTATGATCGATGATGGAAAATACAATGGCTTTTAGATGTTAACCCTATCTTTTTAATTATTTCAATTATGATTTACCCTAACAAGGAATTCTCGTGAAATGTCATGATTGATGCAATACAGCAGGTATGTGAAAGGAAAAAAAGAAGTCAAAAGTATATATTTGGTTGAGACTATAAGACATGACATTCTAACCTAAAGCAAATTGTGTTTTCTAACCCTACATGGTCCTACTTAAATTTATTAGGTAAATTTTGGAATCTTAAGTTCACTAATGCTTTTGAATTTTGGATGTATGGTTCCATCTAGAATTTATCATTATACAGTATGCCACTTTTCACACTCACGAACTAAAGAAATAAAACATGTATTTGCTTATACACTTTAAAAACAAACAAAAATGTAAACTTTATATTTTCTAACCATATTAATATGTTATTTTAACGTTAAATATAAAATTTATAAACTAAGACTCCGTTAACTATATTAGCCAATGTAAATTTTTTCGATAACGTTTTCAACAAATTGTTATAATACAATTTTAAATGTACAAAAGACCAAGTTGAACATGAAGAGTCCTCAATCAACAATAGTTAGTTGTGAACTACTTCATTCAATGACTTTTTTTAGCGAAAAAATTATGTCATGTCAGTTGGTAACAAAATTTTGGCCAAAAAAGTTTATGTATACTAATATGGTTTATTAGAATTTAGTTTGTGTATTTTTTGTTTAATATTGAAATAACGTGTTAATATATTTTAAAAATCTAAAGTTTGTACTTTTTTATTCAACAAGCCAAAATAAATATAAACATGTTATTTGCATTTTATGTGTTCAATTTTTAACATCAACATGTTTATATTGGGAATACTAGATTTTCATACATTACCACAATTTTTGTGAAATATCTTCCAAGTTCTATGCCACCAAACCGATATGACAATTTTTTTTAACTTAATTGAGAAATTGAAGGTGGTGAAATAAAAATTTCTTTATTTTTAAGAGTTGTTATTATTATTTTTTTTTGGTTTGTGGAGAGGCATTTAGGCTTTGGATGTGTAGCCTCTCTCATTATATTATGATAACCAATAGACTAAAATTATAAAAATTTGAACTTATTTTGCTTAAGAAAGCTATCTAGTGAAGCTAAACCTCTTGCGATACATCCCCTTCTAGTCAAGAGTAATTTTTTTTTTCATTTTGTTTATTGAAAGAAAAAATTATTGAAATTTGATTGCTTACACAAAAATATCACTCGTTATCCATAAAATGTATAATTTGGACGAAACTTATTTACAAATATTGATTTTGTCATAGAACCACAAAAGTTTAACTCGTTAGGTGAGGCTCAAAAAATGATTTTATATGACTATCTAACACACATCTTCCCGTGAGAATCCTTTAATATTAAAACTTGCATGAGTTTATACTACTTTGCATTTAATTAATTAGAAGAGAAATGAGAGTAGTGAGATTCAAATTGACGATTGTTTGGTTATCAAGGTTCCGATACTATATCGAAAAACCATTTTAACAAAAAAGTTTAAACTATTAAATGAAGCACCGCAAATAATTTTATATGACTCTCTAACACACCTCTTCATGTGAAAATCTTTTCACCTTAAAACTTGTACAAATCCATACTACTTTGTGCTTAATTAGTTAGAAGAAAAATGAGAGTGGTGAGATTCAAATTCACAATCATTTGATCATCAAGGTTACGATACTATGTCAAAAAAATCATTTTAATCTAAAAATTTAAACTGTTAGACGAGGTTTCATAAATGATTTTATATGACTCTTTGATAGACTTAACATCTCCATTAAAATTTTCCCAAAAGTTTGCAATTAAGATAAACATTTACATGGAACTCAATCTAAAATCCCCGTATAAATAGGAGCTTATTTGAGATTTGCCCAAATAAAATAAGGGTAGATAACCCTTCAAAAAACACACGAATCATGATCTCAAATTTTTTTTTATTATTTTTTACTATAAAGGATACTTTTGTATCAATTTAAACAATTTCTTTTTTATCAATACCCTCGCAAGTCCTTAATAATAAGCCAAAATTTCAATCTGTTCACAAATCTAAAAAGTCTATAATATATGTTTGTTATTTAAGTTAGTTTCATCATATCATTTTAATCAAGGTTTTCGGCTAAGTTAAACATGTGATTTGATAAAATTATCTTTATTTTATGACATAAGTAATCTCTATATCTACTAATATGAAGATTAATTTCTCATGATTTGGTTAGAAATTTTGATTAGAAAAATAAATTAAAAACCAGCTCAAATAACATTAAACATTAGAGTATTTTTTTTAACTAAAGAACAAATTAAAATTTGCCCTATTATATAAATGTTTTTTTATATAAAGTCTATGAATATTGATCCTAAAATCAAAGATCATTAATGACCCATGAATCATGATGACATCCATTGACATTAGTTAGCCGTTAGCACTCACAATTCGAAAGGGAAAAAAAAACAAAAAAACAAACAATGAAGTCGATCACCAACTATCCTTTTCTGGCTTTCTCCTCCAAAATGATGTAGACCAAATACATAGTTCCATCTTTAATAATTCAATTATTTTTTCTTAAGACAAAAAGAATTATTATACATTCACATGTTTGTACATGTGTTTTACATTTTAACCTTATATTAATAATTACTTTTGTGGGTGGGTATGGTGGTGGAATCCAACTCTAGAATCAAATCTATCTTCAATTCTACGTTAGTATTTTCTAACATTTAGACTTGACAACTAATTCATGTTTTGCAAACTTTCCAAGCTCTCTCTTTCCCTTTCAATCAAAAGAGAAAAAAAAAAAAACATTTTGTTGGTGATTTTGTTGCCCATCTATCGATCTACAAAAATTGAAATCTGAAACCTCGTTCGGAGAATTTTTTGTTGGTTTCTCTGGCTACGAGACTATACCAACGTTGGTTTGTGGTTTACGAAATCTAATTGCAATTATTATTATTATTCCTTTCTTAATCATGAGAAGCCAATCACATAAAGAATATCAAGAACTCAATCTTCCTCATGAAGAAGTTACCATCTATTGGCAGTATAACGATAGAAAAATTAATTCAATCTCAATCATGCAAAATTAAGAAGTAATATATTATTACAACAAATACTAGGTTGTTACATTCCAATCATGCAGAGAAAAACATTATATATACATAGAATGATTAAAAAACAATTTTATTTAACACTGTTTTACGATGGTTTTATTGTGTTATAAATGGCGCCGAAGCTATCTTAATCACAATTCTCATGAAAAATTGATTTTTTTTTGTTATACAAGAAAGGTTTGAAATCGATATTTTTTAAAAATAAAGGAATATTATTTGTAATCTAATACGCAAGCTCGTTGAATTGAATATAAATTGCTTTGAATGATGAAAACTAGAGGTTTTCCTACTCGTTTGTCTGCAATTAGTTGCAGTTTAATTGCTTGATGATTTTTATTCAAAAATAAAAAATAAAAAATTGATAATTCAATAAATTTATTGAGAGAAGCAAAAAAAAAAAAAAAAAAGATTCGTCATACATGTGAATATTGAAAACATATACATGTGTGATGATGACAACGATGATGATTTAATAGCTTTTTATTTTTTTTAAAGAAAAAAATTGAAATTTTGGTTCTCTAAATATTAAAACATTTTTCTATGTAATAAATTTGGTTATCATAATTTACTAATAGATTTTGCTTATTTTCTACCGATTTTTCAGATCTAAGAGTGTTTCAGAATTGGTCCTATATGGGCCTCATTAAAATTGCATCACTTTCATCCATATACTTAATGGCCCAATTTAATCACTCCAAGCCCATTTGTCTCAATGCTTTTTTTTTTTTCTAATGGGCCGGACACGACAAACAAGAAAACCGGGAAAGGCAAAAAGAAAACACGTGTTATCATTCCAATGTGGTATCACGAAATTTATGTAATACCCTAAACGGAAAACATAGAGGCTGAGGTTTTAAAAAGAAAGCGCAAGGCAAGTTTAGGGTTTTAGACAGAGAGCTGCTTTGAACCAGAGAACAAAACGATGAGCTTTTGGGGTATGTATTTGAATCAAATTCCAGTTACCGAAACTAATAGTTGTCATCTTTTCATGCTTCTTCATTTGTTTGACATTTTTGGTTTCTTATCTGCAATGGGATTTATCCCTCTTTTTTTTGTTTGTGTTTTCGTTGTAAATTTTGGATTTTTTTTAAAGTTTATTAGAATCTAAAAGGTTGATATTGAAGTGGGTTTTTAGAAATATTTAATGTGAATATGGAAAGATAAGTTTTTTTTTTTTTTTTTTAATGTTATTTTGGTTTTGAATGTTGGTTTTTGATAGAGCTTTTGTTCTTAATTTCTGGACTTTTTAGTTTGTGAGTTAAAATGTTGGTACTGAAATATGGTTTAATGGTTTTGGTCGTTGAATGTTGTTTTTGATGTTTTATGTGTTGCAATGCTATTTAGGTATTGAAGTGAAACCAGGCAAGCCTCACCCTTATCACTCTGATGATGTCCAAGGAAAGCTTCGGGTAACTCAGGTATGTTAGGCTAGGCCAATACATTCTATTATTCTTTCAGAGCTTTGAAAGTTTAAATGGTGGGTAGATAGCAAAATTGCTAAAATTTGTGTTTTTTGAGGTTTGAATTAGTGTAGGCCTTCCACATGTTTGTTGTGGAATGGCATTTGGTATATCGATGGATCGCATCTTAATTGCATTTCAGTTCTTGAGTCGTTGATTTGTGCTGTGTTGCAATTCAGGCAACTTTGGGCCTTGGCTCGTCGAAAGAAAGGTCCATACTCCAGTGTTCAGTTGGACACAAGAGTCCAATTTTCGTATGTTCATTGTTACCAGGGAAAGCTGAAAGTTGCTCTCTGAATCTTGAATTTACTGATGAATTAGTAGCATTCTCGGTGATTGGATCACGAAGCATCCATCTTTGTGGTTACTTTGATTCTGAAGAGGGAGATCACCTCCGAGATGAATATGAATAGTATCCTTTTTGCAAGTTTCTTTGGGATTGTATTTTAGTGGTTTGCTTTATTATTATTTTTCTTCCTTCCCCACTCACCTCAAGTAATTAAAATTATCTAAGGGAATGTGAAATTGTTTGGCTGAAATAATTTTTCATTACTTTATTCTTCTTAATTTCTACTTTTTTTAAGTGATTCGGGAGAGGATATTGCTGATACGGAATCGGACGAATCTAGTGAATATGATTATGATGATGAATTTGACGACGATGACTTCATTATTGATGACAATGATCTTCATATGCATTCCCCTTCGCCTGTCCCCAATAGTGGAGGTAATTTGACAATTTGATTAAATACATTTAATCTTTATACTCATAAGGCTCGTTTTCCCTTTTCTATTACCTTTTGGTTTGTTGAGTTTATAAACAAGGTTTAAAAGCTGTGACTAAATACTTGTATGATGAAATACTTGATCTAGTTCCAACATGATCATTATTCCGGAGCTGGTGCCACAGAATGCATCCATATATTTGGAGTTCAAATTTATGCCTATTAACATTAGTATGTGGAAACTCTTGGCTGTTCAATATTTCTGCAAGATATAAAATAGTTCAAAAAAATCAGGAAAAAAGATTAAGGGGAAAGATTCTAAACATTTTGAAACTTGGGAATTTTCTAAGACATGGTAATTCTAGTGAAAGAATTTTATATGTTTATATACTTCAATGAAAATTTATCTAAGATTTGTCTACATGATATATAGTAACATTTCTGCATCATCACATTATATCATATTTACTTCACTGATAGTTCAGAATCTATTGTTCTCGTCTCATGTAAATGCGGACCTCCAACATTTGGTAACTGTTTAAATTTATATTGCATGTTGTAACAGTTTAGAATACCTATTATTCAATAAAATGTATTCGAGTTTATGATTATGTGCAGCTACTAACCAAAGATGTTCTTTCTATAAATCTGCTTCTTATTTCAGTTGTAATTGAGGAGATAACTGAAGATGACAAACCTACGAAAGAAAATGCCAAGTCTAAACGACTAAAGAAGAAGAATAACCAATCAAGTGACCGGGAAGACCAAAACAACTCTCAACGACAAATTGTTCTTAAGAGGGATACATGTATTTCAGTTCTGGAAAGTGAAGATGAAGACGGTTTTCCAATTTCTTCCTCGGCAAAAAGCAAAGTGACAGTTCAGGAGCCTCAAGCAGAATTAAATGGACAAAAAGATGAGGAAACAACCCGAGAAACAAATAAGAAGATAGCAAGAGAGGATAATGATGATGCTACTGGAAAAAAGAGAAAAGTTAAAAGCGTTGATCAAGATGGTCAACCAGAAAGGTGAGACCATCCGTGCCTAGGTGTTTTTTTTTTAAAAAAAGGAAAAATTATTCTCATTTTTTGTTAGGGGACAGGTTGGTTGTGTTATTAAGTTGCACTTTCCTCGAGCAAGGAGTATGGTTTACATTTGACCTGTCAATTCTATCTTCTGAATTGTTCCTGAAATTTTTGATGGCAGCAAAACGAAGAAGAAGAAGAAGCAGAGAGAACGAGGTACAGAGGAAAAGACTAATGAAATGGATGACAAGGAAGAAATCAACATTGCCTCTAGAGATGAAATCAAGCCTGAGGAAGTGAAAGAGCAGGATGCTACCAATGGAAACAAACACGATCAGAGGTGAGAACCATAATCTATTATTTTGCAACATGGAACAGTGTTACTATTGCCTATCAAAGATGCAAAAATGTCTATTCTTATGGTGTGTGTCTATGTGTCATTTAGTGTGAAAACGTGTCTGGACCCAGTCTAATACAATAAGTGTGCGAACTGTCTGTTTTTTCTTTTTTGAACTAGGAGTTTCTGGCCAAATAATCTTAGCAAACACATTGAAAGGTTCAGAATAACAGGAAATGGCTTTCTCATCTCTCTCTCTCTCTCTCTCTCTCTCTCTCTCTCTCTCTCTCTCTCTAATGTGTATGGATGCTGGTATTGGTGAATGGAGGCTTTTACAGTAGCCTGATGATAGTATTATTTTTTATCTTTAACTTAAATATATTGCCGCTGAACCCATGTGCAGGGGACTTGACACTGATGCAGATAGTATGCCTGGTGAAGACTCATCTGATAAGAAAAAGAAAAAGAAGAAGAAGAAGAAGAATAAGACCCAGGATAGTGGAGCAACAACTAAGGATCAAGCTATTTCAGCTGTGGGAGGCGAAGCCAAGTCTTCGTTGGAGTCCGAGGATAACCAATCTACAGGCAAGTCTTCACAAGTTAGAACCTTCCCAAATGGATTGGTTATTGAAGAATTGGCAATGGGCAAACCAGATGGTAAACGAGCTTCCCCAGGAAGTCAGGTAACTCTTTGCCCTGAATTTGACTATTGTTCAATTAGTCTGCAAAGCCAAAGTCATATTTTTTTTCCAAGCACTTGCTTAAACTTTGTTTAGGTTTTTCCCCCTCACACTCCGAATAGAGGAAATCAGTTAACTGCCATTAAATTAAGCACATTGCTTTTGTAACCGGTTCTTGAATAGCTTGATGTTAAGAAATGTTCAAATTGTTCGCATCACATGGCATGTTACTGAGTTGCCTCTGTCACTTACTGGCTTGCTGTATGGTCGGTGATTTCATGCCATTCAAGCAAGATGAAAGGATATTTAGATGAATATATTGTGATAGGCATGATATACTATTTAAAATCCATATTTACAGTAACCTTGGCATAATTGAATTATTTTCTTTCAGAAGTTATTGGTTAACTGAACGTGAAAGGCTGTTGGATCGACTAAAACTATCTGTTTTTTGAGTTTCAGGTCAGCATGCACTACATTGGTAAGCTGAAGAAGAATGGCAAAATATTTGACTCTAATGTCGGAAGAGCTCCCTTTAAATTCCGCCTAGGTACCACAATTTGGACTATAGTCAATAGATAACAAATACTTGATTTCTGGATCATTAAATTAGATTCCTGTGATCCTGCAGGTGTGGGACAGGTCATAAAGGGGTGGGATGTTGGAGTTAATGGTAAATATATTGATGATTAAGAATGAACTCTCTGTTTAATTTATTATCCATATATTTACATGTTCATATATGCTAACCTCAGGCATGCGAGTTGGGGACAAAAGGAGACTCACAATTCCACCATCAATGGGGTAAGCTATAGCTACTCCATCTGTGACATATCTTATATTCCCTTGTGCACTCTGGCTGAATTCGTCCAATATGATCTGCATGTTTACTTTTGGGCAATACCTAGTTCAATGCTTTATCTATTGCTTCCTACATGGCTTGGCATAAGTTCATAATCGAGTTCTTTACCTTTGGGGTTCCTCTGTTAAACCCTTTAAAGGGGGTTTTCTGAATGTGTTGAAATCTTCTCTACCGAGCTTTCCTTCTCTGCCATAATGTGCTTACTGTGTAATATCTTATGCAGTTATGGAGATCGCGGTGCTGGCGGGAAGATACCACCAAACTCATGGCTTGTGTTTGATGTTGAGTTGGCGAATGTTCGTTGATCATCCCTTGTATGTCCCTTTTTTTCCCTGCTTTTAAAGTGATTGGCCGCTTGGCTATAGCTGGATCTTGAAATCTTGGTGTTTTAACGTCTGGCTTGTGTTACAAGTTACAAACCTACAAGTTCACCCCCATCATATATCTAAAGTGTGATGGGTGTTGTGAACAAAATTTTGGTTAATTCAGAATTGTAAGAAAGTGCGCGGAACAAAAATTTTGGTTAGAACTTAGCTGATTCTTTTTCAGCAGAATGAAAAAGTGAACTTTCTTGTGACCTTTGGCCATGGGATGGATTTAGTAGAAGGATGCTTGATTGATAGTTCTGAGAAAGTCATTATATTCAATGAAAAAAATTAAAATTCGTATAAAATTGGTGTACTTGTAATTTAATAAACCCATTAGTCCTTCCTCTGCTTTTAGTTGTGACGATAATTTTTCTAAAAAGATGTTATCATTATACTGTGGTATTATCACTAGCATTGCTCCTAGCCAATGTACCACTAGTGTTGATGGAATCTATTTTTTAGTTATTATTAATTTTTCATCTTAAAAAAGATTATCAAAAATTAAAAATTTCTTTATTATTTTGTTGTTGTTATTATTCTTTTCAAGCTAAAAGTGCCAAATTTTTTTATACTTTATAGTTTATTTGAAAATTGGTTCCTGACATCTTTAAATTTTAGTTTATTTAAAAATCAGCCCTTGAACTTCTAATTACAGGTTTAATCTCTCTGAATTTTTTTTTCTATCCTTTAGTTTTTGTCATTTAGTCTCAAAAAGTAACAATTACATAAATAGTTTTATGAAAATCATTAGTAAAGTTTATCTAGAGTTTTTTTAAAAAAAAATTGGGGACATCTCAAGTTATTTTTTTATTTTTCATGATTTTCTACATTTTCAATGTTAAAAAAATAAAAAAATATATATATTTGTCGATTTTGAAAAATTTTAGGATTTTTTCAAAAAATAGATTGGATTTTTTATAACATCTGTGCAAAATTTTATCTCAAAATATCAAAAATTTAAATTTTTAAAAAGGAGAAAGATAGCTGAAAATCATATGATATACTAAATCTAAAAGAAATAAAATTTAAAAAGGCCAAAACAAATATTAAACGTTCAAAGACTGATTTTCAAATAAAATTTATCTGGTGCTTTTTTAAAAAATATGAGGACATTTTAGGTTATTTTTTTCATGATTTTTTTATATTTTTAATGTTAAAAACAAACAAATATACTTTTCGATATTGAAAAATTCTAGAATTTTTTTTTAAAAAATAAATTAAATTTTTTCCAACATATGAGCAAAATTTTATCTCAAAATATCAAGAATTTTTTTTAAAGAGGAAGAAGGTAGCTGAAAATCGTGAGATAATTAAATCTAAAAAAATAAAACTTAAAAAAGTCAAAACAGATATAAAAAGTTCATGACTGATTTTTAAATAAAAAAGCTTATTTGGATAGTTCGACCCTTTTAGCCTTCTTTTTAATCTTAAAATGATTCATAAACAGAGTTTTAGAATTGTTTTTCCATTTCTCTAATCTACTCGGATCCTTCCGTTCCTAAAAGTCAAACCTAATAGTTTTTTTGAAGCATTTGGAAGGACAAAGCAGTTCTTACTTCTTAGTCCTGAGAAGTTACAACTGCAAGTCCAAAAAACCAGTGTCCTGGATTGAACGCCAACTTATATTGTCATCCTGAAAACATATACAAATAATTTTAGCTTGGCCCTGGTCCTCCTAGAGCAGTTCCAGAGACATGAAAGTTTGACCTAATTCTTGTCTATAAACGCCCTCGGCATTTCATGTGCTACTCAGAACAAGAGCTGACACAATGGGCAACTTTGAACCCATCCAGTTGTTCTATATAGAAAGTTATACAGCTCATAGTTGTTGCTAGTTGTGCCTTCTCTAAGGATAGCAGAAGGGTTGTCTTGGAAACTATGTTGTTTACGAGGTAAAGTATAAACATGTCATGTAAAATATGTTGTTAGAACCTGAACATAATTGAAATTTATCATTAACCATCAAAATAAAACCAGCTCAGAGAAACATCCAAGAACTAAGGCAACATTGGAGGATAGAAACGCTCTCAGGTAATGCAAGTAACTAGCCGCAATGGCAAAAATACCTTCCCTACCAAGCAAAAACTATATGCTCCGAAATACAAGTACGAAGCACAAAAACTTATTTAAAGGTACTGTTCAGTAAGACTGGTAATGCTTTAGTAAGGTTCAACCGGTGCCCTGAATTTTGCTCCTGCATAGACTGCTGCAGAACCCAGTTCTTCCTCTATCCTGAGAAGCTGCAGTTGGAAAGATATAAAGGAGGTCAATCACCATTACTTTAGACCACAATTCACTGAGTGAGTTGAGAGAAGGCAAGGGAATGACAAAACAGTATCTTCTTCATGGTTAAGAGTTGAAAGGCATGTCAACCTACCTGGTTGTATTTTGCAAGGCGTTCTGATCTGCAAGGAGCCCCAGTCTTGATCTGTCCCTGTTGAGAAGAAGGCAGAAACAAGGGGTAAATATCAGCTCAAGCCTTGAGCAACAGCCTGAAAATTCAAGATAAGCAACTCGTGTGCTCCAAAAATTTTATTCTATTCGGAGACAAACTAACAAGAGCACATAATACGGCATGGTAAAAAACAAAAACACAAGAACTTGGGAAATGCCCTAGTACTTACTGTAGACAATCCAACTGAAAGGTCGGCAATGAACGTATCCTCGGTTTCACCACTGCAATGAACAAGGGGAACTGCGTTAGACATTCGTTGGTGGAAAAATAATTAATGAATGCCACAAAAAACCAAAGGATGTACCTTCTGTGGCTTGCCATGACACCCCAGCCAGCATGTTTAGACATTTTCACAGCTTCAATACTTTCAGTTACAGAACCAATTTGATTCACCTGATAAATTGTGTAATAGAGTAAAACTGTTTAGAGTTGGTAGCTCCAATATAAAGGGATGCCTCATCTAAAATAGAAAAATTGTGAATACTACCTTCAATAGAAGGGCATTGCATGACTTCTCCTTAATTGCTTTCTCCACACGCTGCAACAAAAACAAGCATTTATTTACAGGCCCAATCATTTTGGAAATAAATTATACAGAGCTGAGCATGAATGTTCCAAGACTAATAGTTTACTCTCTAGCTCTCATGATCACCTTGGGGTTTGTGACAAGCAGATCATCACCAACAATCTGCACTTGCTCACCAATTTCCCCAGTCATCTTAGCATAGTGTTCCCAATCATCTTGATCAAACGGATCCTCAATGGACACAATTGGATAATCAGCCACAAATGACTTGTACACATTCTTCAGACTGTCTCCAGATATCTTCTTAGATCCATCATTATTCTGAGACAGATAGATAAAAGGATTAGAGTCACAAGTTTAATTCCAACCTTCTAAATAGAATGCTGTCATTCTAAGCAAAACAGAACATAGCGTTTGGTTGTTAAATAACACAATTAAAGGACTTGATTACCTCTTCCTTGAAATTCAAATCATAGGTCTTGTCCTTATCATTATAGAATTCTGAAGCAGCAACATCCATCCCAATCACAACCTAGCAGGAGATGCATAAAATTAATTAGATTAGAAGTGAATGGTAAAGCACCATAACATCAGAAGGGATACCAACCTTTCCAGTATATCCAGCGTTGGCGATCGCTGTCTTAAGCAGTTCAAGACCCTCTTTGTTATCCTGCACATAAGACATGGTTCAACTTAACCACTGTCACCCAGTTGAATTCAAATCCAACTGATAACCAGCCAAACCTAGAAGTTCCAATGCCACAATTACATGAATAGGTAGCTGGTCACTTTAACAAACCTGGATATTAGGAGCAAAGCCACCTTCATCACCAACATTGGTAGCATCTTGTCCATACTTCTTCTTAATCACAGACTGAATGTACATGCAAGAAGTCACACTAAGAGCCAGTGGCAATTTGAATTTAACATAAAAGAAAATAAAGTTTAAAAACAATAAAATCACCTTCAGGTGATGATACACTTCTACACCCATTTTCATGGCTTCCTTGAAAGATGATGCCCCAACGGGGAGAATCATGAATTCCTGTTGAAAGAAAAATGTTAAGGGCAAGCACCAAAAAAAAAAAAAAAAAAGGGAAAAACCATTTAACCATATCTGAGTTTAGTCATCAAAATTACCTGCATTGCCAGTTTATTGCCAGCATGGGAACCTCCATTGATGACATTGAATGCAGGTACTGGCAAAACCAAGGTCTTGTTTCCAGCAAGATTTGCAATGTGCTGAAAGACAAATGACATGACAACAATGAACCCCCTAAGAATTACACTGACACAACAGAACGGCAGACTACACTAGCAAAACATCCATACCTGGTAAAGAGGGATCTTCTTGACCATAGCACCTGCTTTGCAAACAGCAAGTGACACTGCCAATATAGCATTTGCTCCAAGCTGGAACAACCAAAAAAGGGGAAAAAAATCTCAATTAGAATATAAGTTACCAGACATTAACATATTACACTAATGATTTTCCATGAGCAAAATGGAATGTTGATGAGTTGAGAAAATAAACAAACCTTCTGTTTGCACCAACCCCATTCATTAACAGTTCCATCAAGCTGTTGTACCATGAAATTATCAATTTGGTTCTGCTCCGTTGGGTCCTGTAAGAAAACCCGCAACAATCATCAGTCCCTGTTTGTAAATCAAGGCATAATAATGAAAAGAAATATTGAATTTCCATATTTTACCTTGCCAATCAAGGCTGGTCCAATGATGGAATTGACATTCTCTACAGCCTGAACATCATCAAGACACAAAAAGCAAATTAAAAAACAACACCAACAGCCAGTACACCAACATACATCAGATCATAAGAACATGATCTGCATATACCTTAAGTACACCTTTCCCAAGATAATCTGATCCTCCATCCCTCAACTCTAAAGCTTCATAGACACCTTTTTCCACACAATTACACAAAATAAAATCAGAAACAAGTAAACAGTAACCGATGCATACCCAAATAAAACCTTGAAGAAGAACTGATAAAATACACAAAAAGTACTAATCTTTACCAGTGGAAGCACCACTTGGAACAGCAGCTCTAGCAAAGGTTCCATCAGAAAGCACAATATCAGCCTGTTTATTATTTCAAAAATCCACCATTTCATTAGGCCCATAAAACATATACAAGAAACCACCAACAAAACAAAAGCATACTCTGTAAAAATCAAATCCCACTAGTGCTTCCCCTAAAGCTCTCTCTTTTATTCACAAAAAAGTAGGAAAACCAAATTCTCTTTGACCCACGTTTTCTTAACAACCAAACTAAACATCAAATGTCAACAAACAAGGATCTAAACAAGTGCAACTGACAGTAAAAAAAAAATCCCAAAACATTTCAATAATGCATTTTTATCAAAAGCTTCTTCTTTTATTACCAAGAAAGTACCAAATAACAAAAATTCTCTAACCCACTTTTTCTTAACATCCAAACATAGCATCAAGCATGAAAAACAAGATGCAATAAAAAAAATTACACAGAAAGTCAGAAAAAAAGAGGGAGAGAGAAAAATAATGGGTTTTTATTGAATGGTTAAGATTGAATAAAAAAACTTACTTCAACGGTGGGATTTCCACGACTGTCAAAGATTTGACGAGCTTTTACAACCTTAATCGTTGCCATTCTTAATCTTACGTTTCACTTCGATAAATCTGAGGTTTCTCTCTCTCTCTCTTTTTTTTTTCTTTTTTTTTTCTGTTCTTTCTTGAGACAGATGATTCAAGAACGGTGTAAGTGGGGTATATATATAGGAGTGCTAACGTGGGAATAAACATCGTGAGGTAGGATCAGAGCCGTTGATCACGGTAAAGTAGAGCTGATGTGGATGGTTTTGATTTGTTTCTTGCTTGTCACGTGAGGCGTGGGACTTTGTGGTTGAGTGGGGCCCAGGGAAAGGCATGAGTCTTTGCATTTCTGTCCAATGGGGAATATGCGAGGAATTTTTTGGTTCGAAAATTCGAAGGGTAAAAAGGGTAACGTAAACAATTGAAGATTTACAGTGGGCGGCCCGACGCTGTATGAAACCATAATTCAGGGCGCCCGTTGTTTTTTAATGCGGGCCACCCTCTGAGCATTTAAAAAAAAAAAAAACTGTTTGGGCCATCCTTTAAGATTTGTTTGGGAGTAATTTTGAAAATATGTTGGATTTAAAGTTAATCAAATTGATTTTATTTTTTTTCAAAAACATCTATATTGCATTATAAAATACACATTTATTATCTCTTTGTGTATTTTATTATAATAATACGATTCTTTCTTCTATCTTCATATCCAATAACTATTAACGATAATTTTTATTGTCTACGTGTGAGTTTTAATATTCTAATTATAACGAAAAAAAATGTCATGAACTTTTTGAATTTATGTGTATAAATGTGGTCAGAGTATTTGAATTTCATGAAGAGATGGGAGAAAATTTTCTTACAAACAAATCATTTTTCTAATGATAAAATGTAGTTAATGTCTAGATTAAGAGATAATAGATTTTTATGGAGTAGAGCTACTCCCGTAATAGTAGCCACTAACAACAACAAAAGTCCCCTAAAGGAAACGACAAGAAATTAAACTTTACGAAAAGGTGTGAGCCACGTTGTTATCTTTTAGGAAACGGGTGACGCACCTGGATTTTCTAGAGTAAATTATAAATTATTCTCCCTTGTTTCGACAAATGAACCAATTAGTTTTTTTTTTATTTAAAAAATTATTTATTTATTTTTCACGCTACGTTATAGATAAAATAAAATATATAAAATTATTTAAAAATTATTTTATATATGATTATCTGTTTTAAGGTGTGAATGTATAAAAATATATGAAATCAAAAGCGAAAAAAATATTTTAAATTTTTTAATGTAATTTGAAATTCTATGGATGAGAATTTTTTAAAAAATGATAAATTAAAATAGTAAATTTTAAATAATAAAAATAATCAATAAGAAAAAACTAAAACAAAATAGGATTAAACCACAATACAATTAAAGTTTAAAATTAAAAAAAATATATTGTATAAAAAAATTGAGGAGTATATGATTTTAAATTAATTGGATGGAAAAGAATGAATAATATTAAAATAAATGAAAACTATCATTAAATGTAATTTTAAATTAATTAGATGAAAATTTGAAAAAAAAAGGCAAAGTAAAGTTATAGATTTTAAATAATTAAAATAATTAAAAAAAATAAAACAAATTGGCTAAATCACAATACAATTAAAGTTTAATTTTTTTAAAAAAAAATTGTATAGAAGATATATATACATAAAGAAAAAGACACACACACCTAATACACACACATACACACATAATTTATTGTATAAATTATAATAATATATTTTAAAAAATAAAACACTCGATATTCTAAAATTTTAATTCAAAATTCATATACTAAAAAACTAAATTTATTAACAGATAAAATCATATAAAAAAATTAATTTGATGTGAATTTTAATAAGAAATAAATAATTAAAAATAAATTTAAATAATGAAATTAATATAATTAGATATATATACTTTCTCTCTGTGTGTATATATATATAGTGGAGAGAGAAGCGCCCGGTTGCAAGCCAACCAAGATAAGCTTGTGCAACCAGGTTGCACGTAAAAAAAAACAAAAAAAGTAAAAAGCGAGGGAGGCCGGGCATTGGCTTGTGTAGGCGGGCTAGTTGCCTTGGGCCTTTCATTGCGAGCCCCGTGCCGAGCCTTGCTCGTCGAAAAAAAAAAAATCCCGTAACTTCGATGAACTCGAGGTCATCGGAAGTTCATTGAAAAATCATTTTTTTTTCTCAAACACCTATAAATCATGGGAATAAAGTTAATAAACACATCTAAAATCTTAAAAATTATTTTAATACACACAAAAACTAAGAAAAATACAAATTAAATCGAATTTTTTTCTTTTTTTGGCTTCGATATATTTTTTCTAATTGTTTAATGGCTTGAAACCACTATATATAAACTCATCTCTCAAAGATAAAAAAATGTAGTGGATTTTCACCAACCAGAGTGGCCTAATTGAGTTGGGTCGACGATCTCTTTCTTTCTTCCTCTCAGTCTTCTCTCTTCACTTAGGGACCAAAATGGATGAGGAAATGGACACGTGGATTGAAATATGAATTTGAAAATATCAAGAACCAAAGTATAAAAAAAATTATGAATAGTAAAAATAAGAGTGAAATGTGATCTGTGTGCATAGTATTTCAAAAAATGTAACTACACTTTTTACTTTAGTTTGTTAGTTAATGTTTTAAAATCTACTTATAATTTATAATTTATTAAATTTTTACTTTTTTAAGAAAAAAATAGAAAAAATATGAAAAGATTGATGAAAAAATAAAAAATTTTATGAAATAAAAATAATATTAAATTAAATATGATCAATACTCGATTAAAAGATTAAATAATAATTTTTAAAATAAAAAAAGCTAATTGATTTATTTATGGAAACTAGATAGACTAATTTATAATTTATTCGAATTTTCTAAGATTTTTTCAAGTATCGCTTCAATTCACGAACAAATCAGTTAAAATACAATAAATTCACATAAAATCCGACCAATGATGCATGAAATTCGAGTTTATCCACAAAAATCATTAAATCTAGACCCTCTCACTATTATGCTTTTAAATGACCCGATATTCCAATATATATATAGGCTCTTTCTTTCATTAAAAAAAAAAAAAAAACTCAAACAATTCTTTTTCTTCGCACAAATATACATATATTTACAAACAACAATCAATCCTTTTTTTTTTTTTACATTATTTTAAAACATTAACTTAATTATCAGCTTTGCTAGATATTTTTAGTTACAATGATTTCGATTTTTTTTTGCATGTCCAAGACAAAGAAAGACACTATTATCATTATTTCTACCTCATTTAAGAAGACTGAATATCCAATCTCAACAAATCTAAATATTCGAAACTGTCTCATCATCAAAATAAATAATTTTTTTTGTGAAAATTGACTTCACCATCCCTTACCTTAATCGTGAAAATAAGAATTTTTTTACGACAAGTAGATTAGATTCGACATAGAAAAATTTAAATTTGGTGAGTGCTTTTAAACATGTTTTTTTTTCCTCGTAGCCCACATGGAAGGGAAGAAATTCCTAACCTCAGAAGTCTTGCAATGAACAGAGTTGAAACCTGTTTTGTCAATGATAGGATACATTGACATACATTGTATCCAACCAAAAAATTATCTGATAAAAAACTATGCTTGTATAATACTTAAAATCTCTTTTTTGTCTTTTAATTTTTAAGTGCATTCTATTTGTTTTTTAAAAAATTCTAAAATATATAATTTGTCATTTCGATCATAGAAAAATTAATTTAAAGGATAAAAAGTGATTAAACTTAGTATCTACACTAAATAAAAGGTTTGTAGCATATAAATCATGATAAAAAAAATTAATTTAGATAAATAAAGTTGTAATGGGGAAAAAAAAAACCCCCTACCATATACAGGGCTTTCTGAAAATCAAATCACAAGTGAAATAACTACCACACCCCTCTCACCAAAAATGGGATTAAGACATAAGTATATGTAAGGCCCATCAAGGGCCCATTAAAATCCCATATGGTTTGGGTTAAAGCCCAAATTTTTATTTAAAGGCTCAGTTTGTGCCCTGTCAAATTAGGGTTTAGGGTTTTGCAGGCTTTTTGCTACCCTATTTGCTTGCGGTTTCTGCAATATAAGCTTCTTCTCCACGAATCTCAGCTTCAAAAACTCGATTTTGTATTTGTCTCTCTCTAACAAGGTAAACTGTCTCCCTCTAAACCCTGAACTGCTTAGTTTCATTTTCGTTTCCCTTTATTTTTTATGTTAAAATAGCATGCTTTTGTATGGTTAATGGTCCCTTTTTTTGTATCTTAGATTTTTCCATCAAGTAGCGTTTTAGCTTGTTTGTGTTGGAAGTTATGAACTCTATGGTAAACTAGCATCTGGGTTTGAAGAATTTTGAATTGGGTTATTAGGGTTTGTTGATTTGAGGTTCAGTGTATTTGTTTGATGCTTTTGTTATTAGTATAGGGTAGTTTCATCGCATTAGCTAAGGGTTTTTCTTGATTTTTAAGTAAGTTAATTGGATTCTTTAATTTTGACTGGTTGAGACAGTGAGTTTTGTGTGTTTTTGGTTGTTTGGTTTATCTGGGGTTGTATTTAAGGATTGATACCAGCATCCATTTACTTGGATAAGTGTTTGAATCTAGTGTCATTGAGCTGAAATTTTCATGACAGTTACTTTTTGGTACCCTTGGTGCTTAATTTTGAGTTAAAAGTATTGATACCCATGGGGAATCTTTGATAATTTTATGCTTGAGTAGATATTGGTGTGGTTATCAGTCTTAATTGAGATTTGGATTATGACAGGTTTGTATAATGGGGGTAAATAATGAAGAATTGACCTTGTCTGATGAGGAGCTGATGACTGATGATGAAATGGATGATCTTGACAAAGAAGTGTCTGAATCTGGGTCGGAATTGGAGGATGAAGATATGAAGTTGCCTGAACCATCTAAAAATGCTATATTCAATAGAGATGGTATTGCTGATAAACTTCAAGATATTAGTTGGCCTGAGAATGTTGGGTGGATTCACAAGCTTGTGATTGACTTTGATCAAGAGCAAGAGGTGGACGTGAATGATGACCTGACTAGAGAGCTTGCTTTCTACACGCAAGCCTTAGAGGGAACAAGGCAGGCATACGCTGAGCTGGAGTCTATGGGGATTCCTTTTCTAAGGCCTCCTGATTATTATGCAGAGATGGTGAAGTCAGATACTCACATGGAGAAAGTGAAGGGCCGGCTTTTGGCAGAGAAGAGAAGCATTGAGGAGGCTGAGGAGAGAAGGAAAGCTAGAGAATCTAAGAAACTAGCTAAAGAGGTTCAGCTCAAGAAGCAGAAAGAGAGAAATGCACAGAAAAAGACAGCGATAGAGACCGTTAAGAACTGGAGGAAACAGAGAAAACAAAGTGGGTTTGCTGGAGGCGACAAGGATGGTGAGTTGGATATGCCCTTTGAAGATGGAAAAGTTTTTGAAAGGTCGAACAAGAAGAGGCCAGGGGTGTCTCCAGGAGATCGGTCTGGAGGGAAGGGGAGACAACCTTGGAAGGGGAAGAATGGACCAGAAAAGAAAAAATCAAAGAGGGAATCAAGGGATTCCAAATTTGGATTTGGAGGGAGGAAAGGTTTAAAGAAGCAGAACACTGCCGACTCCACTGATGGCTTCAAACGCTTCAACAAAGGCAGTGCCACAGGAAATAACAAAAGGAAAAGGTGATAAACTGCTGCTTGATTTTTGCTTTCCAAAAGATTTATAATAGACCAGTAGTCTTACAGCTACAACTCTTTATAATTGTTTCTGGAAGGGCTTGTAATAGGGTTTTGAGCTTATCCCTTTTATTTTTTCCCCCTAATTTGTGTAATCTTTAAGCTTGTGGATTGAAGTACAAGTTCTAGTTTTCTTAACAGTGCCTAAGGAGTGTATCCAGATCCTAGTATGGAATCATGATTTTCTGTTATCTTTCTATCTCAAGTAATTCATCATCATGATTTTCTTTACATCACATTCAAGCCCTTGAAATTCATATAGTTGTCTTAACACAGTTCCTGTCTATCCCCTCCTTGCGGGTTCATATAACTCTTTCATGATCAGGATTGGGCATGCTATTTTTACTGAATTTGGCATTTGTTTCATGTGAAAACAAGCAAGGCCTGCCCTTTTTTCAGTTAACTTTCATTATTTCCATCAGTAGACTCTCATCCATCAGAGTAAATCTCCCTCCCCTCTTTTTTATCCAATGAAAGTCAACTACAGTTGGTGAACAATCATGAATCAGATTTCAATAATTCTGTGTACCAGCATCCATGAATTGCTAGATTAATGCACTTAATCCCAACGTGTTTTAACAAGTCAACTCTAGGGATTCCCAGATCTATTTAGCTTTATAATTATCAGAGGTTGGCATTTTTCTCTTATTTGTGTTGCTACTGTTGTTGTCGGTTAGAAGTGTGAACAGTTTAGATATGCAGCTGAGTTCAGACTGAATGTTTGGTTATTATTATTATTATTATTATTTTCGGAGAATTTCCAAGAATAGGCCACGTGTGGGTAATTTTGTTTTTTGTCCGAATTATCAGCCAAGTTAATGCAGGTGCTAAATCTATAATCTTTTCCTCCTTGAGCCCCATTTCTAGGCAGAATTTTCAACCAAATGAGCCAACATTTTTCTACCTAAATTTTACTGCATTTGATGCTGTGTCCTCTTTTAATAAGTTTGCAGAGTAAATGCTGAGGTTTATGTTCGTTCTATTTATTAGTGGCATCATATCGTCATCAAGAAACAGTGTTCATTGTCAGTGGTCAATAATTAATAGGATTAAATCTTCCACCTAAATGTGTCACTGGCACCATTATGGATTAATTATCTCCAAACAATCATATCCCAACTTCCATTGTAACTACAAAATGAAAAATAAAAGTGAAAATTTAAGAGTGGTGATGTCAATAGGGTGACATTAGAGGGTATAAGAAGCTGGTCAGATGGTTCCATGTGCTGTTCTTGCTTGGTACAATGGACCTTTTCTTTAGTTTAATGAAGAAAAGCCCCACGTCCCAGTTGTCAAGAAGCTTCCCAAAATACGTTGATATATTTATGATTAAAGAAAAACATCAAATATGTCATTTCCTATTAGCTTTCACTCCACAACTCACCAATGACTGGAGTCCTGAACTTCTGCTACAAAAAGCTTCTTCTGAACTCTTTTTAGCCTACCAATGAAAGGCTTTAAAAGGGCTCAGTTCTTTTCCTCCTGACAACAACACTTTCTTCCTCCAGGTTTTTTGTTGACTTCATAACCATCGATTTCTCTCTAGTTTTCACCATGTTTGAGTCTACAGTAGAATGGATCGCTCAAGCTGCTTCCAATTCTCTTGTGATCTTCTGTTTTTGCAATTTGATCATTATCATGATCCTCGTGGGCTCAAAGCCCGTCTCTAACTTTGATCAAGAAAGCGAAATTCCTCGGTCAATGGCCATCAACACACACACAAGGGTGAAAGGAGATATTTTGGCTACGCCTTCTTCACTTGATGGAAACAAGAATCCTTCACTTGATGAAAACAAAATATCAATAGATGACAGGAATGTTTCAATTTCCCTGGAAGAACCCACCGGCGACAAAATATCAATAGATGGCAGGAATGTGTCAATTTCCCTGGAAGAACCCACCGGCGACCACAAGGATGAAGAAAATGGAAGCGATAATGAAGATGATGAGCTGAGGAGAAGAGTTGAAGAATTTATCAACAAGGTCAATCAAGGATGGAGGACAGAATTATCAAGGCACCATGTTTAGCCTAGAAATAATTTGACAGGATTTTTTGAAGGGTTGGTCCATTCCATAACTTAGAAATCTGATACTGCTAGAGTTTGTTCTGGTCATCGTCTTTCCACATCATTGTACATAACAAATAACAATGACGCAACTCACTGACAAATTTTGATTGTACTGTTGGAAAGCAATGTCACAGAAAAATACTGCTGAGAAAATGAAAATTACTGTTCCATTGCATCTTCTTTACTACCTTCCTATGTTTTGGACAGTAGTTTGGTACAGAGAGTTTCAGATTTCTTCTTTAGCATTTATGTGTGATCCACTTGTGAAAACTATGAGAAAACTTAATGTGAAAGTGAAAGCAGTAAATAGTAATTTATAGGCTAACAGACATGCTAAAGAGTAATATAAAACTAGTTCAGAAGTTCTATTCAAAATGAATTAAAATTCACGAAAAATTTGATCCTTTTAACCTAATTTATATAGGGTTTTCCTATGCACAAACAGTCAGGGTTTGTGATTGCATGTAATTTATGCTTTGAATTATCAAATAAACAACAGAAAGCAAGTACAGCCTCTTTGGCGTCTAAATAACTATTTGTTCTTTAAATTGGCTGCGATTCTCTTTCACATGGATAAGGATTAAGCATGCATTGGAAAAGTGGAATAAGCCATGGAAAGGGCACAATTGGAGGAGCCCAAAGGGCAATATAGATAGGGTATTTTTGTTGAAGCATGAAGACTTGGGTCATTTTTAATGATTGAAAGCCGGAATTTGCTTGGATTCTCCTCTCACATGGACAAACAAAGCGTGGCAAAGCATACAAAGAAAAGTAGCACGAGATGCCATTTTTTGTTTGGTTTTTCTTTTATCCCTATAAGGGAGATCATTTGTCCACTCAACTCTCCATAGGCAAAGTTAAGTGCATGACTTGAAAACCCAGCAAGAATTTCAAATAACGTTACATCACTACTAAATGTAGGAGGACAAGTTAATGAAATTTGCTTCGACAAGGATTTATCAACTAACCACTTTTTAATCTTGTTGGCAGTTGGATTTGTGGTCTCTCTCTCTCTCTCTCTCTCTCTCTCTCTCTATATATATATATATATCTTCTTGAACAAGTCTCAATCAAGATTGGGGACAAAAACAGTGGCCATCTTATGAGGTCAATTAAGATTCCTTGCTTATTTTGAAAATTATCAACTGGAACTTCAGTTGCCTGCTTGTGTCTGGGGTCCCATGACATTAGGAATTGGGCAGAAATCTTATGAGATGTCTATGAAACCATGTGGTTTAAACGGACAATACTTCACATGATTTGGCCTGACATGCCATTCAAGGTCTTTCAGAATACATGAAGAGATTAAAAAAAAAGATTTCTAACAATCTGGAAGAGAATTTCGTCTTAAAAATGTTTAAGATAAATCTCTAGTAGGAAATTCCTGATAGAGGATAATGCAAGTCATTGATAACCAAAATATCATCCATTTAAATTCGTTCGGTTACAAAGAACAAAATCAGAAGAACGACACACAAGGTTTCATACATCTAAAATGCTACAACAACACAACACTACAAAACACATGATGAGAACAGCCAGAAAAAAGATCCTAAACTACTGTAAGTGCTGCCTAAAGCTAACAAAAGAGAGTACACTTCCGGGTTAAAATCCATACGATGTTAAACCCTGAATTTTTCTTGATGAATAGCTGACCACGACGGGTCTATATTTCTCTCAGCTAAGTTTGAATCAGCAGAAATGCTGTGGTATCTGCAGTAAAACAATGTAGATAGACAGCATGTATAAAACATCATCAGTAGGAGATCTCACAGTTTGAATGGTCAGGACCTTTAGATCCATCATCAGGTGAAGAAGTTTTGTTGTCAGAAGGTGGATCCCTAAAGGCTTGCATGTGGTTAAGAGAAGCTGGATTGTCTCCATGGAAGGATGGAGAAGGTAAGGCAACAGGTCTTACTCCACCAAAGGACCCCTTCATTTCTTCTGGGGAGATAACATGGATAGTAGTAGGAATGACAGATGGTGTAGGTTCAATTCTCTGCTTCTTGTTCTTTGACTCCTGCTGATGACCGGGTAGAAAACTGCCCACGACAACCTGATGCACTCAAAACCATCCACAAAGAAGGAATTAAAAGAGGAAACTTCTGAGGCAAATTCCTAAATAGAATTGAATTTTATTACTTTAATCGAGGAAAACACTGGTTATTTACTCCAAGTTTGTTATCACTTGTCAAAGCAAAAAGGGAAATACTAATTACTTATTTAGAACATTATTTTGAAATTTGGAGGCATCCGGCAGTGAGAGATCATTTACTAATTTCCTTTACATTTGAACTTCTAACAAAATGGAGTACCTGCACAGGGCCAGCTGCCACCAGCAGACCAGCAAGTCCTCCCCCCACAACACGACCATCTGGACCTGCCAAAGAGACACTCATCCCACCAGATCTGCTCTTTGTTCCTCCACTACCATTGGGCATAAATGACCCAGATAAAGAAAGTATCTCAAAACGACCCTGAAAAAATGATGTATATCAGTTTCTCATGAGAAAAACAGCCCTGAAATGATAGCACGACTTCGAAGTTGGTAGCCACATCCAAAAACTTGCATCAATTAGGTAAAAAAAGAAATTATTATTCAAAGAATGCTACTAGAACCACACAAAACAGTCATGTCCATCCATGTGAGATTAAATATATGCATATTGAAAAGGATCTAAATGTCATGAAGTGTCAGTGGGGGGAGGCAGAGGAGAACAGAAGTTCATTAAGTACAACATCAGTTCATTTATTGCAGTATAATTAATTATATGTTTGGCAAAGGTTTAGCAAGTCTTTCACTTCTAATCCATTTCAAATAGAAACTCATGCAACAGCATCAAATTTAAAATTAAAACAAGAAACACAGATCAACAATAATATAAGATTTCCAGACATTTACTGAAACAGTGGTCTCTGATATTAAGGCTCAAAGCAGCTAGCGTGCTATTATACGACCTTTCTTTTTTCTTTCGACAGTGTCATGCTTCTATTCTTATGCAACTCATGAGAACAAAACATGTTTCTCTCTCTCCCCTCTCTATCTAGCCATACTATTTACACATCTCTCTTCATGTTTCAAGTTAATTATTGCTGCACTTTTGTGTGATTCTGTAGTTTACCACCTAAAACTTTGCAATTATCACTGTTCTTTCTGTACAGGCGACCATTGGGCCCAAAAAAATAGTGCAAATCTTTCAAGTGCTTCCATAGCAAATTAATTTTTCATTTGCAAATTGCACGCAACTGAATTATATGAAAAATACAATAGAAAAAGACAAAGGGCCACACCTCATATGTTAGAGTACCACCAGAAGAAGTAGGTTGACGAAGTGTAACATTAGAGATAGTCCCATTTGCAGAAAGAATGCATATAGCACGAGCTCCTTGTTGCGAGAAGGACATGACCTTCATCGTCACATCCTATAAGTTAACAACAACGACAATAAGAAACACAGAAAAGGAAAATGACTAAATATTGAGACAGTGCAGAGCAGCAGTGTCTTCCTTAAATTCATTGTTAGGAGAGTTCGGATGAACTAGGATAGTAGCAGGCATGGGAGATTACACCCATGTTACATGGGCAGTTGGAGAATGAATATGCTGAGACTGTACATTTTCCCTTATCATATAAACAAGTTAAATTAACTTACTATTTATGACACTACGAGAATTTCAGAATTTGAGTTCAATTGGAAGGCAAATTGAAGACAAATGAATCCTTATATCACACCAAGGTTCATTTAGAATAAGTGCAAAGCATACCTCGCCAGCATTAACTGTGATCACATGGGGCATGAAATTAGCACCAACAAAGTATGCAATTTTGTCACCTGCGACACAATGATTCAAGAAATCAGCATCACGACAAGGAAACCTTGGAATTTTTAGTTGCATAAAAATACCCAAGAAGCATGAAAAAGAAACCAGTCATTGTACTTAGCCTAACAACTTTGACATCTACCGATTTCTTTTTTAGAATGGAATGTTAAAAAAAATGAAAAAAAAGAAATATATAAGAGATAGTTGAAATTTTGCAAAACAGACTTGCAAAAGTGGCAAACAAGCACCTCCATGAAACAGTATATTAGTTAGAAAATGCAGAAAGCCTTTGTAGTCCTTTTGATAGAATGATGTTGACAATTGTAACCAGATCCCATACCACCCAAAGCACATCTGACTAGATTTCTTTTTCTGTGATTTTAGTACTAGACAATTAAGATCTATACTAACTTTATGATTGATTGCTCTGCTCCTAGTCAATTTTTCATATTTTCTCCAGTCATTTTTAACCTTAAGAGCCAGAGTCCAAAGGCTTTTAAATAAAAGACCCATCTGCAGACAGATAGGATCCAAACATATCAGATAACCAACAGATTTTACCTATCCAGCAAAGAGGCAACTTGAAAAATATTCTGTGTGTTTTCTAGCAGAAGTGTGCAAATTTCTGCTCTCAAAAGGCAAGAAGTACAGTTTCTCATCTAGAAGAAGAAAAAAAGGTTCTTTCGTAGTACATCATTATCCAATCCTCTTCTTATTCACTTCTACCATTAAGTCCAGATATGGGGATCACAAAGAAAAATGTCAGAGCTAATGGCCCCACTCTCACTCTCAGTGTCTCACATCAAACACAACAAATATCCTCTATAATTCTCCTGCAAGATCCATATCACAACCAAAAAGATCAACCTAGACCCATTTCAGATTTCAAAACACAAAAACATGTATAAAAACGTTAAAAACATCAAAAGACACATCGTCAGTTATAACCAACTCAATGATTTAGCAACAGATCATGACATGATTCCTGAATGTAACAGTAAAACATTGAAAAAAAAAAACATAACAGTTAACAGTAACTGAACTAAACCTTTGAAGATTCAAAATTTCTAAAATTAACAAGAAGAACAGATCTATTTTGTTCTTTTTACCTGTGCTCTCATATTCATAATTATGTTGCTTCTTGACTGACTCTATGGGCCGTCCTCTACCCCGTTTCCAAGCAGAAAAGTCCCCAAGCGGAATAGAGGACGATATCGGCATTGGTGACAATGCTGTATTTAAAGTGCCATCAGGGGCATACTTTCTAGGCCTTCCCCTTTTCTTCTTGAACCCAGTATCCGCACCACCCACACTCGCTGGAGAGGCACCCGCCGTAGATGCACCCACCGGGGAGGCAACCACCAGTGGCCCACTGAACGGGCCAGCGTTAGGGTTAGGGTTAGGGTTTGGGATAGGGTTTGAGTTAGAGTTAGGGTTCGGATTCGGGTTCGGGGTCGGGTTCGGGTTATGGTTATTGATTGGGTTTAGGCTTGGGTTTGGGTTTGGATTTGGATTGGGGCTAGAATTTTCATTTCTGGGTGCTACCCTGAAGCCATCAGGAGCTTCTTCTGCCTTAACTGTCACACCTGAACTTACTGTTATTCCCTCTTTTGCCTCCATTACTTCATAGATCATATAAAAAAACCGTTAAACCCTATAAACCCCAGAGCTTAACAAACATAAAAAAATCAGAACTTTTTCAAGTTCAAGTGCTTGGTATACAATAACAAATGCAAAAATTAGCTTACAGATCAGAACTTTCTGGAGAAAATGAGCTCAAACAAGCTTGTTAAGCTTCAAAAAAACAGAAAAGATGCAAACTTTGCTTTGAATCTACAAAGATTAGAAAACTTTGGTGGGTTTTGTGGCTTGAATCTACACCATTGCAGAGAATGCTCCGAGCTTCAATGGTGGGCTTTTTCGTGCTAGTGAAAAAAAACATCAAAGTACAAAAAATTACAGAGAAAAAATTTGCAAAAAAAAATAAAAATTAGAGGGGATTGCAGAATTTCTTCAATGGAAATGAAATTAGGGTTTTTGCAGGAAAAGGAGGGGAAATAAATAAAGTAGGGAAAATACAGAAAAAAAATTTAAATAAAAAATAAAAGGGTATAAATAATTTAATATTGTTGAATTTAATTAATAATCAAATATTTTAATTGCAAAATTCAAAGTATAAATTTTGGTTAATAAAAGAGTTCACGTCCGTCTTGGAAATTTAATAATAGTGATTTTAATAATAAATGGCAGAGATTGTAATTTTTTTTAATTATTAAAAAAGTGAGAAATTTTAGGAAAAGAAAATGGCTTTTTCTATTTTAAATTTGGCCCTTTAATTATTTAAAGCTTAAAAAATCATATTTTGAAGCTGTAAAGGCAAGGTTGGAGGCCATGCCAATTTTCCAACTACTGACATCTTCTTTGTCTTTTCAGTTAAAATTAAAAACTTTGACTATACAAAATTTAAATTAATTGCCCCTCCTATTCATCAAAATCTACTGTTAATGCCACCCAAAAACAGCATGCTTAAAAAGCATGGCTGCTCCTCCTTCTTGTTTGCCCTAAAGAAGAAAAGCAAAACCTAACCAGAAACAGCCACACACAAGGTCATGCTTTTGTTGAAATTGCTGTTCGTTTTCCCCTTTAAGTATTGTTTTGGACCACTGTCCAGCCATCCCTACGTTGAACAATTTTGTCTTCCCATCATGTAGAGATTATACATGGTTTTGGATCTATTGGTTCAAATGTGAATAATCTATTTATTTAAGATTCGATTCGATCCTGGGAGATTTAGTTGGAATGGGTGAAAACTGTATAAAAATACCTGACAATTTCTACAAAACGTCCCAAGTTTTGGAAAAGAGGCCATGAACAAGTCCAATGGAGATGCATGCAAACCTAAAACGTCTTGTATTTGAATAATAATAATAATAGACTCAGAACTGAAGGAGCTTCCTCCTAGACCCATTTTCTCACCCTGAGAATCTTCGACAGATTTGCTGTTCTTGTAATGTAGAGAGGTTAAAAAAGAAGAAGAAAAGGACAAGAAACAATCATGACAAAAAAGGCTACTTTAACCCACCACGGGATGGCGCAGCGGCAAAGATTTGATACTAAGAGGTTTACTTTACCTGTAGTCTCGGATTCGAGTCCTGATTATTCTTTTTGATGGTCACTAGAGGCTACATGATCGTTAACTTCGGAGTCCGTGAGAATAGTCGAGATACGCATAAACTAGCACGGACACCCATGTTATCAAAAAATTAAAAAAGGCTACTTTAGAAAAGAACTGCTAGTTCAATACAAGATTTTACTTCCATTATCTGTAAAATGCTTTTAGAAAGCAGAAACTGCCAGCTATATATCAAGTAACAGTCGCGGGAAAGAAATCACAATCCACGGTAAAGAATAGAAGTTGTAAGAAGAAATATAAACTGAAAATCAAGAGAAGCTAACATTGACCAGGAGGTAACAATTTTAACAACTTAATTAGTCCACGTTTCAGTGCTCGTAGACTATGTACACTACCAAAAAGCCAATTACAATTGACTTAACCCAGAACTAGTCCCGGAAAAAGATCAAACAGAAGAGAAAAAATAAAATCAATTAGATCGACAAGCAATGACGACGACACACTAATTCGAGTTCATCCATGGTTTCAGACTTGTAGTTGTATAATCGACTTTATATGTGTGTTCGGAAGAACAAATCCTGCTCTTGTTTCCTCGAATGAGTACTCTATTTCTTCGGGAATTTCAACTGGATTAACTGCAAATGGAATTGGTGGAGGAGGGGCTGGGGTCATAGCTGTCTGCATTGGTACTGACACTGTTGAGGGTGTTGTAGGCACGGAAATTGGCATTGCCTTTGGAGTCCTATTCTCTTCATCCGCGACAGTATTTTTCTTTGAAGGAGTTTTGAAGGACAGATCGTTTGTCGGAAGTATCTTCTTCTTAAATGTGTCATCGTGTGTTGTCGTTGCCTCTTCCAACATGTTGGATTTTGATGAGACATTGGAAGCAATAGGAGAGAAAGGTTGCCGCAGCATTGGTGATTGTAGTGGTTCACGACCATTTACAGCACCAAATGAGTGTTTCTTCATAGGCAGACCAGCAATATCTAACCCTCTCCTACCTGCAAAATAGTAAAAAGAAAATGAAAAAAATATATATATTTAGAAGAGAAATTCAAACTTGCCAAATAAGCATAAATGGTTGCTTAAGCAATCATGCTGAAAATTCCATCCTTACCACATCTGTCTGTCTTTATCCTGGACCACCAATGGTCCAGGCAATTGTACCACAAAATATAATAAATAATAAATAAAAACTCTGTAGGATTTAAGATTGTGTTTGAATGGAATATTAACAGGTGAAGTATGTGAAGGCTGCCTGTGCTTTGTTGTGTAAAAATCATCTGAAAGAGTCAACAGAAATACTCAAAGAGACTGAACATACTTCATCGTCAACAACAAGAAAACAGTGAAGAACCAGTTGATATTCTTCCCAGACCCCGAGGAAAAGTGGCGAGCCGTTATTGCTCGGTTTCAATTATATCATCTTCAACAGAAAACAGAAAAAGGAAAAATGAATGGAAAATATTTGGAATAGAAGTTATGGCTACGAACTCCTTAGTAATCTATGACCTTCGCATTTTAAAATAACTTACCAGCCGATAAAGCAGCAAAGCCATCATCCTGGTGGCGGGGTTTCGAATGCTCATTTTGATGCATTCGATCAACTTTATTGCCAGGACGTGAATGTGGTCTAGGAGTCTGAAGCATTGCTCCTCCAAGGGAAAGTCTTCTATTGGTTGCACCTCCAGTTGAAACTCTAGGAGCCTTTTTTACACTCTGGGGCTTTGAAGGGCTTGGTTTCGACCCATAAAGGGCCTCCTGCTCAGCTATCAGCTGCCCCTGCAGTTTCTTCTGATCCTATAATAGATTAACCACACAAACCATTTGATGAATAGGCATATCTTCTGCATGAAAGACATCTAGAAAGCACCCATGATCCCGTAGAGTCAAAGATTCATGAATGACTGAATAATGTAATGGAGTCTTTTTTTACTAGACAGACTGAGAATTGACAGATCCATACCCGCTGCCTCCGCTTTTCTTCTTCTTTCTCCTGGCGTAATATCGTGTACTCTTCAAGCATGGAAAGGAGTCGAATCTGCACATGGGTAGTTAACAGCAAAGAGTTAAGCCTTAATAAAGAAAGATACAATAATGAGTTACCTTAAAAAAACAAATACTGGACTTACACCATCATAGAAGAATTCAGTGCCTCGCTCCCGTTCCCACGCCATGGTTTTTGAAGCCAAAGCCTCCACCATGCCTGCCCCCACATGAAAAGAGTAACTTATTATAAGATGAGAAGCATGTTATAGAAACGTACAGCAATAACAACAACAAATGCATGCTTCAGGATGGAGAAACGGTCTCTGAGTGATCAAACAGAACCAATCAATAGATAAAACCCATGGAGGCATGGACTAAAAAAAGTTCACATGATGTCCAATAAAAAGTTGTCCTGGGTGAACAAATTATGATGAAACATAAAATGCAGCCATCTATATCATGCCCGACAAATAGAAGGCAAGCGATCTGAATCATCCAACTTGATGCTGCACATTTGCACACTTTACCAACCAATTAAAAAAGCCTGTACCTGGCATTTTATTAACCAAAGCACGAGCTTTCTCAGCACGCTTGAGAGTAAGATGAGCACCTCTCCCAGCATTGTATCGATTGTCATCCTGTACAGTCATCAAAATATAAGGACACAATCAAGTGAGAAAATCAATAAACGATGAAGAAAAGTTACAAAGAGATGACATAGACACTTAACCCTGTTATACTCTTCAAGCCAACTCTCCTCTTCACATGCAGTCAACCATTTCTCAACCTTTTCAAGTATTTCTTTCCTGCTAAAAGCTTCCTCTTTAACATTAGCGATTTGCAGCTCAATCTGCTCCAGTATACTCGCAGGTTCCATGTTTCCTGAAATAATAGAGATGAAAAAAAGCATTCTGTGAAATGGTAGAGATATGACTAGCATTTAAGAAAGGATGACTCATCATAAAAAATATACCAGATTCTATGGCTTCAACAGCATATTCTACTGCAGCATCTATTTCTGGAATCATATGCATTTTTCTGCAGATCTCCTCCAATTCCGACCTCTTCTTCAGAACAAGCTCCTTCATCTTGCTTGACTTCAACTCTTCCAATCGAGAAACTTCTGCCTCAACCTGTATATTATACTTATTATCTGAGCATCTTTGCAAAACAACAATCCAAACGACTAGACAGAAAACTAAAACAAGCATGAAATATACAACATCTGTAACTCACATATTTTATAAAATCCACAGAAAGAGTGTTTGGTTCTGTTATTTCATGCTCTGAAGCAGCTATATTGCATGTAACATTTTGATATTCTTGTTGTTCCTCGATAGGAGTATCCATCAAATTCCATAGCTCCAACATTGTAGTTGCAAGATCTTGGAGCTATGGTGACACAAGGGCACTACTTGGTCAGTTTGAAATAAAACATTCAGGATCAAACATTGACTAAAATTTGAGCCAATAGTCACCTTTTGCATTCTCTGTATTTTAACCTCTCGCAATTTATGTATTGCAGTAGCCAAATTCTGAATGGTCTGATTACTTATGTCCCTCAACCCTCCAGAATCACCAAAACTTGGATGAACCTCACTAACTGTGTGCTTGAAGTCCATACCAAGCACTAAGCAAAGTGCATTCAAAGTATCTAGATGCTGCTGGACCTGCTTCATGCGATCACTCTGCAAAGAGAAACAATGATTCAGTAAGTAAAGACTAAAGACATGGAGTAAATGAAAGAAGTTGGATGATGGAGAATGAAGAAAATAATCAAACCTTTTCTTTCTCAAGTTCATGCAGCTGTCTATGCAACTCTTCCAGCTTTTTCAAGGAGAGGTCAGCTTCATCAACAAACATATTATGATCAGCTGATCCATAGATCTCACTTGAGATCTTCCGTATGTCCTCTAGAACCTCATGAAACTGCTTTCTACGGTCCAATTTCCTTTTCCTCATCTCCTCAAGCTGCGGAACAATTTTTTGAAGCTCTTCCTTCAGGCTTCCAGTATTTTGATCAGGCTGATTATAGCAGTAAGGGAAAAAATTAGTCTATGCACCAGATTTCATACCTTTATGGTGCACAGTTTAAGAAACTGGTCTACAAGTTATCCTGACAATTTCAACTTTTTCATGAAACAGCAGGACAATAATATGTTACACAAACTTATTACATTACTAACTATCTAACTCAGCTCCAACTTTGTTCATATTCTACAATGAAAATTCTGTTATAAAACTGTCGCCATTAGATTATGGTCACTAGCAGCTGCACAATGATGCGAATTGAATTTTCTAATGACTATTACATGCAATCCCAACTCTGTTTTCCATTTTCATAATTCATCAGACAACTTCTAGAAGTTTAAATTAAATTAAATCAAGATAATCATTATAAATGAAACAGAAAAGAGAAAGCATTCTAAAACTAAACCTGCCGGATATGTACTGGTCGCTCCCCCATTGCAGAACAGATAGCAGCCAGTTCTGCTTCAGAGTCAGCTATAGCCTGTCGAAGCTGAGCTCTGTTCCGGTTCGCCTGATCCACCTTTCTTCTGTATACTTCAAGACACTCTTGTTCGAGCTCAAGCAGCATTTTATCCCTGTCAGTATCTGTTTCCCCTACTTCATTCCAAATTATCTGATTTTCATTTGAAACAGGAAAAATAATGGGTTCAGATTATACAGTTAAGCCCACAAGATAAAAAGAACGAAAAGAAATAAAAGATACAGCCTAGAAAGGAGGATTGGATAAAGTTTCTTTATCTTATGCCAAAATAAACCTGTAATTCATATAAAAGGGTTCCGCAAGTTGTTTCCACTTGGAGAAGTGGATCACTCTGGACAGTAGGCATACTGATTAAATTGTGTCTGCCAAAAAAGAGAGAAAAAAAAATGTTTAGACACATAATAACATGAGAAAGGTAAAAAGGAAGCCCAGACCCAGATAGAGCAGAAATCAATGAATCATAATCAGCATTTAGCACCATATATGAACAAGTAGATATGCATCATACAAGCTGAACTGCTCTTGATTTAAAATGCTAGGCTGTAATTAAATGAATTGAACTATATAAAAATGCAGAGGATATTTGATACAATAAGGAAAAGCGTAATGTTAAATCTTAAGAAAAATTAACAAGAAAAACTTCAAGAACACACATGGGCCGTTGGATTAGTGGGGCCCTCAATGAGATCCCACTTTAAGATCATGATCCAATGGTCCATGTGTAATCTTAAAGTTTTGTCTTGTTGTTCTTTCATCATTGTTTGGCATTTTTGTAAGGAAAAGGGCAGTAAGCGTAGCTATATGGGATTCAAAATTTGAAACACAATTCATTCTTCTACCACCTTTTTTAATAAACAGTGAACAATGTCTTTCTTTATCTGCAAGATCCTCCAGATTTCCTAAAAGAGATCTCAATCTACAAAGTAATAAATTTTATCCACTTTAACGCCACTCCAGAATCTTAGAAGTAGCTTCCATATATGATAGCATGTAATTTAATTATTAGTGGGAATCAGACTGCAGCCTTAAATGGAAAGCAATCAGAAATCAAGTTAATTACCATAACAGTTTTAAAAACTTTCTATTTCTAACATCAATCTCACATGTTCCATGGATTCTCCTAAACTGAAACCTGTTGTTTTAAAAAAGAATAAGCTAATAAAACCCATCATACTTTCTATGTAGAAGCTTCCGTAACTTAAAACCCTAAACAGAGCCCTAAACTGTGCATGATTAAGATTAGCACCAATGCAAATCCGATACTCTGATTGATCACTGAGAAAATAGAGGAAAGGAAAGGACAATTCGAATTTTAATAACTTTTCAGTTCAGATTTTCTCTACCTTTAGTTCTAACAAACAACTGAACCTCAAATTTCATAATTTATATTTTATAGGAAGCCAAACAGAAAATTACTAGTAATTGAATGCACAAGAAAAATCTCAGTTACTTTATAACCTAATTAAACCTAAAAGGCCATAAGAAATGCTAATTAACACGCTCATTCTATTTTTCTCTATTAAATGAAATTCCAGCTCGACAAAATCGAAAAAGAACAAACCTTACCGTCTGTTTGATTCTTGAAAATCTCCAGGGAAATAAAAGCAAATTAAAGAAAATCTCAAAGTTTCCAAAAATAAATTCAAAAAAAAAAAAAAAACGAAATGCAATACAGTTCATATTCTCTCTGAGTTCAGTTCAAAAGAAAATTCCAGCAAATAAATCCGATTCACGAATCACATTTCCTTCATTTTCTCACCAACCAAACAGAAAATCAAACAAAACGCAAGCCCTGGAGAAAGAGAGAGATCTAAGCACAAACCTGAACAAACCAGTGCTTTTGTCGAAATCTTCTTCCCTCGTTTGGTTTTCCCGAGAAAATGTGAGTGATCGTTTGTTTTAGTTTCGATTTTCCTGAGAAAATTTTTAATGTTGTTAAAAAAACGGAGCGAGAAATAAGGTTTTGAAATTTTCGAAGAGAGAGAGAGAGGGTGAGTTAGCCGTTTAAGGCCACAAAGGACCGTTGAAATAAAAGAGAGAGCGTTTGTTAAGGATTTTTCGTTTTTGGTTTTAATGATTTCATCGGATCGTTTTGAATTTCAAATTTCTTGATGGATCTAAATCTTCTAAAATCACTTGTACAGATGTTATAGAAATAATGAATCTGCACCGTTAGATGTCTTTTCTGTGGGATGGAGACGGTAAGGATTGGAGATACAGCTGTGGAGGTTTTGGTATCTACGGTGCGCTTAAGGTGTGATATTTTATGTGGTCCAATAGGAATATAACATGTCAGCATAATGGAAGTACAGTGGGTCCTGTGATTTGAATTGGACAATTGGGATTTGGGATCGGAAGGGTTGGAAGTTTCAATCATCAGAAGCCCATTCTCGGTGTCCTTTTCGTAGTAAATTATAAATTAGTCCTTTCAGTTCTTCAAAACAAAAACTAGTCTCTTTAGTTTTAAAAATAATTCATTAGTCCTTATATTTTTAAATTATTTGTAACGTAATCTGTTTTGTTATTTTTCAATTTTTTTTTGTTTTTTAAGAAATATTTAAATATAAAAATAAATAAATATAAAATATTTTTAAAATAAAATAATATTAAATCAATCATATATAATACCGGTCAAAAAATTAATTAATTAATTTTTAAAACAAGAGAGACTATTTAATTTATATTGCAAAACTAGAGAAACAAATTTATAATTTACACCTTTTTGGTTTGTAGGTCACGTATGCATCCATACATCCCCATAATTTATAAGTTTTTAATTCAATTTCTTGAGTTTGAATTTTGGTTCATTGCAAATCTATGCATCTTCAACTAAAAAATAAAAAGATAAATTAAAAAGAGATGTAATTAAGAGGCTGGCTCGGCATGAATTTCTCCGTATATATTAAGTTTTAACTAAGAGTCATATTTCAATAAAAGTAATAAGGTCAGCCCATTTATAATTGTTAAGATTTTGCTAATTTATTAAAAATATATCTTAATTTTAAAATTTAAATTGTTAAATTAGATTGTTATAAAAACTTTATGAATGATGTCATATTATTTTTTAATATATTTAAATTACATAGATGATGATAGAAATAAGAATTGGACAGCTGACGCATGCCACGCATCAACACATCCTTGTTCAATGGTAGTTCAAGAGTTGTTAACGTTGGTTGACATTTTTTTTTTTTTTTTGAGATCAAGGAAATCCACTAAACATCTTAGGAAGAAGCCAAAAAGGAATTAATTAAGAAAATCAGTTGACTAAAAGTGTCTCTCTTACACAAAACTGGATCAAGACAGAACAAGAGACCAACAATGCAAGCTGCTGCTCTTTTTAAGAACAATTCTTGAAGAATAACGATGGCCTCGTGAGGGTATTGTGTTTTATAGGGAAGAAGATCAGTTCACAAAACATAATATCTTTAGTTTAAAAATTTTTCTTTTCGGAAGGATTAAGAACTTATTTCCAGATAATGCATTTTTAAACACGAATGATGACATCGTACTGTTTGTATTTTTTTTTCCTGCTTTGAGATTGCAAATTAACTTGCTGAGTTTTAGTAGATTTCTTCTTTAGCTAAGCTAATTAGGTTTAGCAATTGAGAGCCTATTAACATCAGAATTAAAAAAAAAAAAAAAAAAAGCTTAGTTTATTACAAGGTATCGGAATGTTTTCCATTTAATTCTCTAGTAAGTGTTGATGTCTTTAGTTTATTACAAGGTATCGGTTCTGGTTATGATTCAAATGCCCATGATTTTAAGGTTGTAAGAATTCTATCAAAACATCTCTTTCCACCGGCTCTAAAATTCAAATTAGCGCAAGTATTGAATGCAAAGTCGAATGTGTGGAGAAAAGTTGATGAGGATCTTCCATATGCTTTTGACATTCATCTAAAGCCAGTTTCTATAGATAAGGTTTGTCATTGCTAGAAAAACTACAATCGGTTCACCTTTCCGGGAAGTGTCAATGCCTCCAAATGTAGTGGTCGATGTCCACTTTAAACCATGCCAAATGGGGCTTTTAGTGGTAGAGAATTGTCTTAGTTTAGTCCAGATTAATATTTTATTCTTATTATTTATTAATAACTGACTGTAATTATTTTTTAACGATATCAAAATTGGACTGGTTTGACCTAAAAAACGGTTTAGTAATTCTGTTAAAAACTAAATATGTCCTAACGCTAATTTAGTTCAAAAAATATTAGATTTAATCTCGATTGATGTGAAAATTGATCTAAAAATATCTCAATATATATATATATATATATAAGTTATTCAACATTTCTATTCCTATTATTGATTTAACCAATGTACCATATTGACACTTTATTTTAACTACTAGAACTCTAAAAATGCTAAAAAATAACAACATCCAATAATAAAATCTTTGCAGCCTTAATGCTTTTTGCTAGTTGATTCCATTTATCACAAAATTGCTCGAGTTTGGCCAATAGTGGGCTTGGGTCTATTTCTTAGGCCGGACATCAAGCACATGTATATTTACCAATTAATCAATTTTTATTTTTTACACCTTTCGATAAAAAAATTCATAAAATTTTTATTATTCATCTTTGCCATCACTAGTGATGTTAAACAAAAACTATTTTATGAATCTTGCACGTAAATGAGTCTCTTGCTACCAAAAACCAATGGTAACACACTGTACTACAAAGTCTCACCGATGAAAAATTTGACTTTTCATGCACTGTAAATTCATTTTAAGTAATAAGATAGAATTTCCAAAATAATAATAATAATAATAATAATAATAATTCTGAAGACACAAAACTCTCATTCTAAGAGAGAATCGTACCAATGAGCTATGTTAATATAATATTTAATTAATTAAGATTTACATTTAAATATGTTAATATAATATTTAATTAATTAAGATTTATTCCTAAAAATGTGCTACTTCCAGCTCCAGTAAAGAATGTACTCCAACTACATATATATGTTAGGTTAATCATCTCATTTACAAGCTTTCACAACATAAAATGCCGACTACAATTATCCTTTTTTGAAATGTTTGAATTTTTTTTCCTAAAAAAATATGTCTGAATGACATTAATTGAAAAAAAAAAAAGGAAGGCCTTTTTATAGCAGAAATAGCAGCACTTCATATGTATATCCAGAACTTTGTCTAGAAATACATTATCGGTGTGTTTGAACTTTGTCTGAGATACTAATGATCCCTTTAGCCCTACCTATAGTCGATGAAATTATGCTTATGATGTTATGCTAAAAATTTATGGTTAGCCCTGATCATGAACTTTGTGTACTGACATATTCTGCAAATATTTTCGAAGAAAAAGCTGATTACATTTTTGCAGATATGTTGGCTATAGAATGCGCAAATGCATGATCTTTAGAAATGCTCTATAAACAGATATTAAAATAATATTATTAAATGTCACAAGCCAAATTCAGACATTCCCTTGTTGGGAATTTCCAGCCAGCACAACTGATAATTTCAGCACTTGAATTTCGGAAAATTGCAGAACTGATTAATGCATTCGATTTTTACATTCAATACTTGCACTAATTTGAATTTCAGAGCAAGTGAAAACCACATATTTTCTGATAAAATTCTTACAACCTTATAATCACGAACACCTGAATCATACCTAAAACCGATATACTTTGATACGTACCTCAAAATCCTCAGGAATTGCTAGCAGAACCCGGTGGTGGTGGCCATGCATATCGAAATTTGCTCAAGCAAAACCTGGTTCGGTGAAAAGAGAACACCATGATTTGGATACACACTTGAATCCAAATAGGGACTTGATAAGAAGAGATAAGCCCTAAATCCTTTTAGTTTTTTCCTATTTATAGGCGCTCAAGCTTCTGCCTCTCAATTATATTTTTAAGGCAGAAGGCTTGTTCTAGCATGTTGGTCTTCAAGAAAGCGTTTTCTTATTCTGTTTTCTTAGTTAAGCAGAATCCAGAAAAAGGTTTTCTTGGTTTAGGAATGAAGGATAATCCAACATAGCAAAGCCAAATAATAACAATGGATGCTTTTCTCTTAGAAAGAGAATTACACAACATTTTCAGACCAAATTTGTCTAATTTATCACTTCCCTGCTTTGCAATTCTGTTTCACAGAATTGCAGAGAAAAGTACCTCTACCATCTGGAAAATCCTTGTAGCATTCAGTATTTCAACTTCACTGTTGTTTCTGCCTTAGTTGGCCAGAAACTTTGTGATTCAAATATTACAACCTTAAAATCACTGATAGTTGAGTCATAAACAAAACCAATAACATCCCACTCTGCTTCAAAATCCAGCTTAGGACCTGGTAATCTCTTGTATTAAAAAAAGCTAATCTTATTCCGTTTAGGATTTTACATGCATATCCAGTGCAATAAAATTACAGAGAAGGAAAAAAAAAAAAAAAAAAAAAACGGAAATACAAAGCACAATCATCATGATCGAACAATTCAATCTGTCTGTGAATTTAAAAACAACACAAAAAGTGAAGAGCAGAGTTTCATTTTCAGAACTAAAAACAAGCAAAGACAACCAAAAGATCATGAAAGAAAATTTGCGGTTGTGGTAGTAGGATGTTCTATTCTTCCTCAATGATCATCAGAGGGTGAAATTAGAGTATCAGAATACAGAATCACTTCATCAAAGGACTTATCGCCACCAACCTCAAGTTTCCTAACAGTATTGTGATGTGTATCATAGACATGGAAATCGCGTGTTATGAAATCCAAAAGAATTAACGCGCCAGCCTCAGTAAAACACAACGGCCTCATCAAACACAATGGCCTCCTGAGCTTTTCAACAATGCCATTAAACTCGAGAACCTTAACCCAACAGCTTTCTTCCTTCATCACCCACAAGTTCATTCCAGCGCACAAATGGAGGGAACCTCCTAAGACCTCCAAAAACAATGGCAAATCGCAAACATCCCCTGTTACACTTGGGGGCATTGACACTTCCCGTAAACTCTCCTCTGCTAAATCAAAGCGAAGAATTACAGATATCTGTGTCGAATCGGTTGTAGTTTTCTTAGCAACGAAATACAAAGCCCCATCTACGTGCACCAGCTTTATAGGAGCAAAGTCAAGAGAAAAACTATCAATAGTAATAATGTCAACGGCATAAGGAGCACCCCTGTGAACAGTTCTCCATACATTCGATTTGACATTCAACACTTGCATTCTGAATTCTGGGGCCGGTGAAATTGGATTTGGCCATGCAACTCTTACAACCTTATAATCATCGATGCTTGAATCATAACCAAAACCGATATACTCTACCTGTTTTTCAAAATTCTCTGGGGTTGGTAACGTCTTATATTTGTTGATGCGTGGATTCCACAAGAACATGGAGATCGTATTACCGTCAAACCAACACATGCTGAAAATACCGTCTGTACATGAGTAGAATCTGTAAGAGAATGCGAACTCGGATAGCCTGAAAGGCCAATCGAGTTTCTTTGGCTCAGCTTTATGATCCAGATCGATTGTTTCTGCTACTTCTGGTTGCGTGTAACAATGTCTGAGAATGGGAGAGTCATGATTGTTGCAGCGGCGCTTGTTGAAATTCGCACGGGCAAAACCAGGTTTGGAGAAAAGAGAACACCATGATTTGCATACGCTCTTGAATCTAAGTAGAGACTTGACAGGAAGATTCAGTAGTATGTCCTCTATGACATCATCTGGAATAAGGGTATTTTGTTGTCTGCTTGTAAGCTGCTGTTTATGCTCCTTTCCCATGGCTTGCTCTACTGTGCCTTTTCCATAAGAGATTGGTATTCGAATTTAGAGAGAGAAAACAAACCCTAACCCTAAGGAAATTCCTTTTCTGGTTTATATGTATGAGAGAGAAACTGTTAGGTACTTTATGTTGGTTTCGGTCCCTCTTCTTTTGGGCATAAACCACATGCATTAAAAGAGGAAAAGCAGGACAAATTTTTCTACATTAAAATAGGCCTGACATTTAAAAAGAGCTATCTTGGGCTTCTTTTCATGGGTGCAGCCCACCAAAACCCAATATAAATGAATAAAGGAAAAAAAAAAAAACAGAAAAGGAAAAGGCTTTTATTGAAGTAAAAGTCACAAGCTCTCGGACATAAAATAAAAAGAGAAGAGGAAACCATATGGTTATGTTCATACGTAAATATTGATCTATAAGTCAGGTTTAGAGTTTAATCTTTATAATTAGTATTTTTAAAAATTTGTTTTCAAAATACTTGAGATTGTGTATTAGGTTGTAGTCTTTAGCCATAGGGATGACAAATTGGCCTGCTCCATGGAGCCCCACCTCGCCTTGCCCTCTATCAATGTCAAGATTTTCCAAGTTGACTAAGGAACAGGATGAGACGTCCCGTCCCGTATTAATTTTCAACGAGGATGGGACGGGAATGGTATTTGCTCGCCTCGTCTCGTTTGTCTCGTTTCATTTATTAAATTATAATTATACCTTATATAAAATATGTGTCTATTAACTATTAGGGTTTATCTTATGTATGAACTATAATTTTTTTGTTTTGTTATAGTTTGAAATTTGATAATACGATGGAATAGGACAAGACGAAAACAAAAAACTAAACGAGCACCGGTGCCTCGTGAGGATCCTTGTCTCCGTTTGGGACGGAGATAGTATAAAAAATATTGCTCCGTGTGAGGCACGGGGCGGGGCGGGGCATCCCAACCCTCTCCCCATCCCCTCACCCGCCTCGCCCCGCCCAGCCCCATTGCCATTCCTACTAAGCCACATCTAAAGAAGAATTAGTCTTGAAGTATGTAAAAACTAATCCGAATACACCTTTACTCTTGAAAAAAAAAAATTTTCCCTAGAGAAAAAAAAAGAAAAAGAAAAAAGGTTTGTTCTTCTTTTTTTTTTTTTTGTTTTACTTGATTGGACAGTGATTTAAAGTATTTTTGGCGACAATCTTTTTAATTTGAACGGTATTGATTTAATACAAGACAGATTTTGAAAGGGATCAAGCTAATATTGCTGATAGTGCTAATAATGCTGATGTGAAATAACGAGGCTAGCACAGGATAAGAAGATGGAACACAAGCTGTTATGAAGTTAGTTAGAGAAGTTGTAAGAAAAACTGTTAGATGTTAGCTGTTATTAGAATTTGAAATGGTAATCTGTAACATTTGGTAATAGAACACATTCTTGGCACCTGTGGAAGTAGATTGAGCGATGGTGAGAAAGAGAAACAGTGACTTAACAAGGATAGAAGAATCTATTGATAACTTAATTCAGGTAATTGTTAACCTCCCTGAAAAGCAAGATGATGTTAATAGAAATGTAGAAACTAATGTAGATCATGGTAAAAGGTTTCAGACTCGTGGGGAAAATGTTAATGTAAGAGATCATGGTTGGAACGCTGATGGTAGAAATGTGAATCTTAATGGAAGAATGTGATTATAATGCAAGTTATCAGGCCAGTACTCGATCTTAACCTAGAGCTAAGTTAAGAGACCTCAAAAAAAACAAGAACAAGTAAACTTATTCGATAATATATATTAAAGATATACAACTAAATCTAAAAAATGAAGTCTAATAAGATCATATTTGCTTCTTTCTGTATGCTAATTTAGCTATTAAAACGTTTTTCAAAACTCAAAAAGAAGATTTTATTAATAGATATTTTTTTTTAACTCACACTTAAGGTTTCAGGTAGAACTAATTTATTAGAATTTGAACCTATAATCTTTTATTACAAGATATTTTTATTATAAGATATTATTATTACTAGGTTACAAGTTATTTGACAATGGATATTAACATTAAGATCACAATATAAGGGCATTCTATTACTCCAAGATCAGCCAATAAAAAAACCCCTTTCACCAATTTTTCTCACCGAAGAGCTATTTTTTTTTTTTAACACGAAAGGTTTTTAGCAAAATTAATTTATTAGGATTTTAATTCGAGAATTTTTATTATAAAAGAAATTATATCAAATATCTACGGCCTCGTCACGTATCATATGTGAACCAGATAATACTATTTCCACATCATCTCGGCAAAAGGGATTGGTCTATTTTTTTGATGAGAACCAAGTCTCGCACCAAAGACATCAGCACTTATAAGAGAATTAAATCAAGAACATTCTGATATCTTGTAATAGACTAAGTTGTTTCTAATTCTGATGTTAATAGGCTCTCAGTTGCTAAACCTAATTAGCTTAACTGAAGAAGAAATCTTCTAAAACTTAGCAAGTTTGCAATCTCAGAGCAGGAAAAACAAATACCACAAATAGTACGATAATATATCATGTTTTAAGAACCATATATCCTCATCCGTATAGCTATCTGTCTAAGATGAATTTTCTGTAACCAACCAATCAACTCCACTTATAAAGCAAATCAAGCTTGAATGCAAAGAAGATTTCTCTCCTGTATATAATATTTTTGAATATCTTGTATGCATTCAGATTCGATGACTTGTAGTAGGATATTCTTTCTTCAATCATCATAGGAAGGTGAAATTAGACTATCAGAATACGAAATCACTCCACGAAAGGAAGCATCGCGACAAACCTCAAATTCCCTGCAAGTATCGTTTTCTGTATGATAGATATGGAATTTGCCTGGTACTAAATTCGTAAGAATCAATGCACCAGCCTCAGTAAAACACAATGGCCTCATGAATTTATCAAAAATGCCTTTAAAGTCGAGAAACTTAACCCAACAAGCTTCTTCCTTCATCACCCACAAGCCCATTCCGTAGCCTAAATGTAGGGAACCTCCTAAGACCTCCAAAAACAATGGCAGATCGAAACCATCCCATGTTACAATCGGAGGCATCGCCACTTCCTGCAGACTCTCATCTGCTAAATCAAAGCGAAGGATTATAGATATCTGTCGTGAAGAGATTGAAGTTAATCTCTTAGCAACGAAATACAAAACCCCATCTTTGTGCACCGGCTTTATAGGAATGATGTCTATAGTATATGGAGCATCCTCGTGAACAGATCTCCATACGTTAGATTTGACATTCAACTCCTGCATTATGAACTGTGGAGCCGGCGAAAATCGAAACAGCTGTAGAAAAACTCTTACAACCTTAAAATCATTGATGCTCGAACCATAACCAAAACCGACATACTCCAGACTACCGATAAACGGCTGCCGTTTTTCGAAACTATAGAGGATTGGTAACATCTTATATTTGTTAATGCGTGGATTCCATAAGAACATGGAGACCTTCTTACCGTCATACCACTCCATGCACAAAATACCGTCGGTGCATGAGTAGAGTTTGAGATATGTGAATGCAGACTTTGATTCCATGAAAGGCCAATCGAGTTTCTTTGGCTCCACGTTATGATCTAGGTCGGCTCTTTCTACTAAACCCGGTAAACTACAACTAGGTTTGAGAATCAGAGAGTTATGGTTGTGACAGCGACGCTTATTGAAATTTGCACGGGCGAAACCAGGTTTGGAGAAAAGAGAACATCATGATTTGGATACGCTCTTGAATCTAAGTAGAGACCTGACAGGAAGATTCACTAGTATGTCCTCCATGTTATCGTCTGGAATAAGGGTATTTTGTTGTCTGGTTGGATGCTGCTGCAGCAGCTGCTTCTGCTCCTTCAGGATTCTCATGGCTGCCTCTACCTGTGCCTTTTCCATAGGGAGATTGCGATTCGTGTTTTAGAGAAAAAACCCAATCCCTGTTTACATACATATATACATACATACATACATATATATATATATAGAGAGAGAGAGAGAGAGATTATATATATGCATGTGTGTGTGATTGGAAAAAAAGAGAGAGAGAGAGAGGGAGAGACAAAGAAAAGGTAACGAGATATTAATGCACAAAATTATGTATTATCTATACATGGTTGTTTAAATATATTTGTATGCAAACATTAATAGCATTGGATTAGGTTAGAAAATAAAAAGAAAACAAAAAAAACTTTCATAGGTTAAAAAGGGTTGAACCTATAAATATTAAAATAAAAAAAAATACCAAGAAGGGTGTATCTCTCGATAATAGAGTAAATTATAAATTAGCTTCTTTCGTTGTTTTTGGTTTTGGAGAGAAAAACAAAATATTTATAAGTTTTTGTATATTTATAATCGTGGAAGAATTATACTTACATGTTAGAATTGACAAAAACTTTATAAAAAGATTCAGTTTACACGCTAGAATTGATTCAATTTATATGTTAGAATTAACAAAAACGTAACAAAATGATTCAATTTCAACTGACAAATTAAATGATTCAATTTCAATTAAAAAACAATCAGAAAAAGGTTCAATCAGAAATTAAAATTCCGAAAACTCTTCAAATAATCTGAAATTTATGAGAGTTTTGGACCGTTTTGCTAAATTTTAATTAATTTAAAAAATTCCACAATAATATAACGCAACCAAAAACCTAAAAATGGAGCAGAGAAGACAGCTTTTTGAGTGAATGTCTTGACAGTCCACTACAAAATACACGGCTATTTAGATCTCTCCTTTTGTCCAATCCAAATGCACCCCGGCCCTCTGCTTTCTAACGTTTGAATAATTCTTATCCTCGGCAGGGTGTGATGAAGGGAGCTGGACTCAGTTCGAAAAATGCACTGCATCTGCTTTTGATAACCCCCAGAGACCACTGTCTACAGAAATATCACAGCTAGAAGTTTCCAATAGTTGCATCCATTAGAAAGAAAGATGAAAGCTAATGGTAGATTTGAACTCAGCACTCGATCAGGACAAAGGAACTCAGGGAAAGGTGAGGCATAACATTCAATGATAAACTGATTGCGAAATCCAGCTAGTAAAACAAGTTGGAACGGCAAATGGAGAAACTTAAGAATAAAAAATTGACTTATTTTATTTATCATGGTAATGCTCAACAAATAGGTCTCGATTTCTCTACCAAGTAGACTAATGTACTCTTGCTACTTGTACAAAAAATAATGGAGGCTTACAATACACCAGCTACCAACCAATCCTCTGTCAGTAGTACCAGCAACAGATAACACCTGGATGATATATTTTTCACCCCAAAAAAAGAGGGAAAACTGAAGGACTAGGCTACCTTGGCTCTACAATAAATTAAGTTACCTTATCAATTACTAAGTATAGTTGTGTAGGCTTCGCGGTGATAATTGGGCAAAGTGCTTGTCCGTAGGCTGCTTGGAAATGAAAACATAACAAACCTCATACTGAAGAGCTTTGGTTGGCCTCAAATTCTCTTCTAATGGTTTCAAGCACAAGTTCGTTCCAGGTATCAACTGGACCAGGCATGCACCAGTGCAAGCAATCCTGCGGAGGTGGCCTTCCATCTGGACTGCGTTTTGTGAGTTTATTAGGGTCAGGGCTTCGGTATGGACCTGGATGTCCATCGTGGCGATAGCCAAAGGATTCGGTGATGTCCATCAACCTCAACTTCGATTTATTGGTCACCTTCTTAATTGCACGATCAAAACCTGCTATCTGTTTCTTGTGCATTATTTCAGTAAAGCCATTTTCCACTAATTCACCTGGTGCGAGAGGCTTTTCCTTCCCAGTGCATGATCCACCAGTATTCCATGCCCCACCCTCATAATGATCAGGTGAATACGAGCGGAGAATGGTTAGCCCAGTGTAATTTGGATGTGTGGCAATAGATGTGAGAATTGTCTCAACAGATATCCCAAATGCTTCAATATTGTTAATCTTCATTGGACGAGACTTGTCTGGCCACCACAACTGTCCTCCTACAACTTCATTGTTTAGGACATAGACTGACTGCTTGGCAAACCAGTGTCCAGAAGAGAGAACAATCACATCAAAATTTGGGATGAATTCCATGAAATGCTCGTCCGGGGCATCAAGGTGAAGTTTGACAACACTCTCTGGAGCAAAGTCAGTAGGTTGTGATGTTTGGTGAACAAGCCAAGAGGACCATATCCGGACAACCATGGTAGATGTAGACCTAAAGAAATATCGTTGCATTTTTTTATTTCCTCGGTTTTTGGGAGCTTCTGCCTGAAAATATATCAGAAACTGCTTCCATAAGAACATCTCCCAAAACAGTGCGACTAAATAATCACAAGTATTGTGTAACCAAACATTTCATTGCATGTGATACCACTACATTTCAAGAACGGTGTCAATTTATCACACCAAGGTAAGTAAATGAAAAGGGCTTGAGAAGGGTGACACTTGGGAAATCATGTTCTACACTACAAATTTTGCTTCAAGTATCATCAGAGCAAAATTGATCCAATTGTCAACTTTTGCCCCATGACTGTCGTCAAAACTAAAATGAATATTTGATAGATGCTATCAGTTTGCAGAAATAAATTTCCCTAAATCAAGATATGATGAGCTGTCAAGAGGAAATTGCCAAAGCCAGAATGGAATTGTATTCATAATGGAGTGGATATACTTGCCTGCCAGAGAAGGCACAACATCGATTCCATCTGGTTTCGGGCAACAGAGTCACCAATAAAAGCTATTGTTTTTCCTCTCATTAATTCCAGAAACTTCTTGGCATCAAATCTAGGGAGGTTACACTGAGAAGGTTTCCACCGCCAATTCTCATATTCCCTGTCAGGCCTTCCGTTTCCCTGGCAATTCTGCATCTGTGTCAGAACAGGGCATGTGTTGTTTGTGTATAATGGTCCCAGTGAATCGTAAAACCAACTTCCTTGGTACAAATCACATCCTGCATGTTAGAGAATGTAAAGGAAATTATAATCTCAAAAAATGAAGAGATAGGGAGGAAACAAAAGAATGAATTCATAAATCAAACATTTCTATACTAACAAACTTCAGAAAACTCTTTGATACAAACATTCTCCAAGTTTGAGGAAAAAAAAAGTTATAGTATTCCTTCCATTCAATTGAAACCACAGTCCTTGCAACCAAATCCATTATGCGCACACTAACAAGGTGTTCAGAAAAAATGTAAAGCAAACCATGAATTTGTCCTGTTTTGTTCCTTACATGAATTAGACAGACTACCAAGGATTGATATCAATCGCATAGTTATGGTTCAAAACATATTTGAGAACACATCAGAGAGAAAAAGATGTGTAAAATCCATCCTTGAAGATTGCCTGCAGAAAAAGAACTTCTTTTTATTCCTCAAAGAAGCTGGTACTGTCCTTTCTGTATATAGGATCATGCCTGCACAACAGAAATGGCTCTCCCCCTCCCTTTTGAAGCCAGGTCTTGACCTACTGGTTACCACCTTGCTTCTCGCAAAGAGTCCAACAAAATTAAGCCTCCAGTTCATGGCATTGAAATGTAACTATTATGGAAAGATCATGTTTCCTACTCTTCAAAGTAGCAAAAGATGCAACTTTTTTTTTCTGAGGATGAGTACCAGAAGTTACTTTTTTTCTTTCCTGACGTTAACTACCAGAAGATAATAGCTAAGTATCTCAAAACATCAAATGAATCTATAGCAAAAGCTTACACATTTCTCCCATCCTACAAAAATTAAACATTTTTTATCCTTTATTTAATAACTAATGCAAGTAAGCTGGATCCTCTAGAATTTCCTTTTTCAGCAAAGGTAAACCACTTTGCCAATTCTACCAACGAGTTAACAATTGGAAAATCAATAATTTAACAGCTGGAAACTTCCCATGGCAGTTAATAATCCCAAATACAAAAGCAAGTTACCAAACAGAAACTCCAACATGGATGCAAAGATAAACACAAATACAATTGCCGGCCATAGATAAGCAAAAAAAAAAAAAAAAAAAAAGGTACCTGAATCATCGGAACCAGTTCTGGATGCATTGCTGCTGGGCACAGCAGATATATCTGACTTGATCCCTGATTTAGAATCTGCAGAAGCAGCATCTGAGCTACTCTCTTCTGATCCTTTATGTACGCCATTCTCTTTGACACTTAAAGTAACTGAACCGCCCTTGGAAATGGTCTGGTCTTCTTTTCTTGTACCATTAGTGGATTCTTGTAAATTAGACCCAGATTGACTATCAACGACATTTACACTGTTATTATTAACACCACCAAAACTAATGGGCAGTTCTAAATCAGACCCAGATGAAGAAACCTTATCAACCACATCTGTATTATTATCATGGCGCTGATCAATGGAGCTTTGATTGCCTTCAAAAATGGGTAAATCCACTTTTCTAGAGCCATCTATCGCGTAAAAGTATCCACGAACCGTGGAACCTATAGGGTATGAAACCAAAAGCAAAGAAGCAATAACCAAGAACACTGCAAGGCCTCCCATTGATGCTGCAATTGAAGTAAGTGACCGAGGAAACGCAGCCATTGCAGGTTTAGCACTTTTTGGTGAAGAAGCCAAGTTCATGGCTTTCCACATAAAGCTAGCTCTTTTCACCAAGAACGAATTATGTGGATCATGCAACTCAAGATAAACTAACTAAAATCTGATTTCCATAATTGAAATCTACTCATAAAAATTTAAACTCTAAAGTGGAAATATTTTAGTGTAAAATCTTAATCTAACTAACTAAAATTTGGATTTCCACAGCTGAAATCTACTCAATGAAAATAACCCACAAACCAAAACCTTCCAAAATTTGAATCTTGATACCAAATTTAGACAAACTGCTCTCCCTTTCAACCTTGAGCAAATTACCAACCTGCAAAACAGCCAAAAATAAACACAGCATTTAATGAACCAACAAATAACAAACCACTAATCCATTTAATTAAAAAAAAAATTCTTGATGACTAACAAAAACAGAACCTGATTCAATATATAGAAATCAAACACATTTAATAAGCTTTCTCAAATTCCAGATAAAGAAAGAAAAACCTTCAAAATTCAACTTCTGGGTACTTTAATTTACATCCAAAACAACACATTTCAAATCAAAACAACCTAAAAAATCCAATGGATCTTGAATGGATTTAAATCAGACCTGGAGTTCAAGAATTCTCAGATTTTATTGCAACAGAATATGGACAGACTTTTTCTCTGTATCTGTCTCTGTATTAAGAGAAAGTAAATTTAATAATTCTTGGATCAGGAGAAAAGGGAGTTTTAATTATCGACGGACTCTGATTTTAAGAAGGAAGGAAGGAAGGAAAGAATTTATGTGCGGCAAATCCGGAAAAACAAGTCCACGTTGTTTTACAACTCTGTTGTCTTTAATTTTTCTCCGGTTGTGAGAGAGACAAAAATGGCAAGGATTGTGTAATTACTGAAGTGACCCTCGATTTAGTAATTTTTTTTATTTTTTATTTTTATTGTGTTGGATAGTTATTAAATTACATGCTTTATTTAGAGCTTAAAAGATAATTAAGTTGATTTAATTACTCGATTTAGCGTTTTGTTTCCTTTTTCTTTAAATGTTTTGTAGATGCTATTTTATAGTCCTAAGATGTTAAATACGGATCTCGTTAGCATAAATGACCACTAAAATATTGTAGCATTTCAAAATTCATAGCAACATTTTCTTTTATGCCAAAATATAAAATGGGAGTTTTAAAAATGCTATTTTTTTTAATTAAAATTAGTACTTTATGTTAATTTTAGTTATTAAGATCCAAAAATCTCCCTTCCTTAAATTTCATGCTCCATACCATTTTGGAGGGAAAAAAAACTTAACCAAATTCTTGTAGATTTATTTAGAGTAGATAGTTTATTTAATCTTTATATAATGGTTTGAGTTTCAATTTATTTTTACATTTTTAATTTTTTTTATTGTATTTCTGAATAAGTTTAAGTCTCTATCAATTATTCACTATGAGTATTTTTTTTATCAAAATATTCTCAGCTAAAATCCATGAAAAAAATCATTTAAAGTCATATGATTTATATGTTCGTTTCTTAAATCTTTAAATTATTATTATTGTTATTTCATATCGAAAAATTTCAATCAAAAATTTTACTCATAATAAAAAAACTTTGTTGAAAATATTATATAATTAGAAATGTAGAGAAAAATTGTAAACTCGGATAAATTAAACTATTTACTCATTTATTTACGTGAAATAATGGAATTTGATTTGAATCTTTATGATTGTAGATTTGTTGTTAATGCATGAGAAGTTACATAGATTTAAGTAAATCTAATCTATGTGAAAATGAATGTTGGTTATCTTTTTAGGCGGTGGAGATGACAACTATAACGTGATCTGGATTCAATTAATTAATTGTACTTTTATGGCAATCTTCTCCCCTTTGTATTTACTTGTGGAAGTCACAATTCCGACTATTTTGACCTAATAAGTGATGCTGAATTGAATTTACAGACTACTAACTTTGACATCCCCATGCATCATCAACTTTAACTATTGCCAAGTTGGATGCTTTTTTCTTCGATTTAGATAAGATTAGGGGATTTTTCTTAATGTATTTTTGCTTTTCACCTAATTTTTATTTCTTCTAAATTTTAATAGTTAAATCTGCATAATTTTCACAATAGGTATTTATATTTTTAATTGATTTAATTTTATTTTTAAATATACATTAAGTTTTTAATGTATTTTTTGTCATAATTTTCAAGTCAAATAATCAAAATTATTCACAGAATTTACATATGACTAATTATTACTTTAAAATATTTTTACAAGTCAGTCAAATAAGCAAATTATATGAATAATCTCGATATTTTAATTTTAAAATCTTGCTATAATAAAAAATTAGATAATTAATAACCATTTAAAAATAAAATTTATTTAATTAAAAACATAAATACAGATTAAATGATTATTTTGTTATATAAACACAAATTAAGCTTTTAACCCTTTTTTCTAATCTCTAAATTCAAATCCATATCTTATCATGGAGAAATAGGATGTTACATGCGTGTATGAAGGTCAATTATCCCTATAAAAAGAAGGGTTTTTTTCTTCAAAAAAAAAAAAAACAAGCAGCAAAAAACAGACATCAATGCTCCTAGATTTTGTATCCAAAAATTACCTCACGGTCAAAAGTGAAAAAGAATTGGAAAAAATAAAAAATAAAAAATGAAAAAACATCCTTCATGGAGGCTGCTGTGGTGGGGAACCGTGCAAGCTGGCCCTATGAAAGCGTGCAGCGTGGTTTCCAAGGTGCGTCGTTTTAAGCCCCACACGGCAGCTAAACGACTATTCAATCGCATGGGCCAATGAGAAAAAGGAGTCAGACTATTTTTATGAATCAACTTGGCCCAAGAAATTTCAATGGCCTATCATAACAGTACTTGGCCTTTTAATTCCCTACTTGCAGAGGGACTGTTTGGTGAGTAAATTATAATTTAGTCCATTTAGTTTCGATAAATCGAATAATTCCTCTTATTTTAAAAATTAATTATTTAATTTTTTAACTTGATCACATTTAATTTAATATTATTTTATCTTAAAAAAAGTGTCTTATTTGCTCATAAATATTTTTATAATATCTATTTATTTTTAAAATAATTATAAAATAACAAAAAATGAATAAATAAAAATAATTAATTAATTTTTAAAACAGAAGGACTATTTAATTTTTTTCTCAAAACTAAAAGAGGTAGTTTATAATTTACCCAATGTTTTGTATGATTTTTAGTGGGTTGGATGGTTTTTTTCTTGGGCCCATGGGCCTAGTAGTTCACCCCAACATGCCCATCTGACTGGGCTTTGGGAATAGCTGGTTGAAAATTTGAGACCAGACAACATTCTTTGCTCATGTAATAATTTTTCATTTCTTCTTTAACAACTCCTTATCCACCATTTCAATCATCAAAACTTGTCTTGAGGGATTAATCTTATAATTAAGGGGATAGTTCTCATTCAAATTCTTAGCATTTGCCAAAACTAAGAGGAATAAAATTTTCAATTTTTTTATTAAAAATGCATAAGCCAACTCATCATTATATAATAACATAAGTCTCTAATTAGATTTTCTAATTAGATTTATTATATTTTTAACTATTATTGAATCTTCAATTTATTGTTTTAATTATTTTTTCTCACAGTAGATAAATTTTTTGATCAAAATATACTTAATTAAAAAAAAACCTATTTTTATCTTTTTTTTTTTTTCATTTGAGGTGTTTCGATCAAAAAATTTGTTTATGACTTGAAAAATCGATTGAAATGATAGATTAAAGACTAAATTAATATCAATGATATAATAAATATAATTATAAACCTAAGACCATATTAGATATTAAGTTGTTCCGCAAAAATAAATTGAGCTTTTTTTTCTTGTTTTTCTACCTATAAAGCAACAAGGAAATACCACAAGTTATACAAATTTTGGCATTTAGACACACCTTAATGCTCGTAACAAAAGTTACATGTATGACTTCAAAAACTATTAAAAACAACAACGCGTGACATATAGTTAAAAAATTCAAATTTATAAACCATCAAGGGGTGACGCAGTGGCAAGAATTTAGTACTAAGGGGTTTGCTCCCACGTGGTCTTGCGTTCGAGTCCCGATTGTTTTTCTTGGTAGCCACTAGCGATTTACATGATCATTAACTTCGAAGCTCGTGGGATTAGTTGAGGTGCTCGTAAGTTGGCACTGGACACTGCGTTATCAAAAAAAAAAAAAAAATCAAACTTATACTACAATTAAAATTTAATAAATAGGTAAAACATGAAAAATATAAGATGGGCTTAGAAGACAAGTAGAATTTAGTCATTAATATTTAAAATGGTCGAATGATATATTAAACGACTTAAAAGATAATTAAAAGATACAGTACACCGCAAAATGATTTTTCAAAATATTTAATTATCTCAAAATTATATGAGTGAACAAGAGGTGGCTTTATTTATTTTTTACAATAGCTTTATAAGCGATTTATCATTCTTCAAATTAGAGACACGGAGTTAATCTTATCATGTGAAAATTGATCTAAGAAACTTCTCGTTTATTCTTAAAAAGAGAAGGGATAAAAATCCTTTCATTTCATCATTTTCTCAACGACTCGTCAAACCATCCCTCTTAAACCCCAACGTCATTGTTCGACATGGCGTATGTCTTTGGCTTTTAACGTTGCTAGAGCATTCTCTCTCGGCCCGAAAAGCACTAAACAGACAACCCTCCATTTTTGAAACCAGAAACATCAAGCCAATTCATAAAACCCATAACTGGGTTCTCTTTAATGGCTTCTAACACTCTCTCTTTTCTCCCAATTTCGATCTCCACCTCTCGAATTTGCAATGACAAACCCCACAATTCTTCACTATTATCATTCCCTTTAAGCTCCTTTTATGGTAACAAGCTATTGATTTCACACTCAAAGTTGAGAACTTTAGCTCTTAAGTGCAATAATCCATCAAGGATTGTGACAGTTTTATCTACTCTACCGACCAAGTAAGCTTTTTGTTCATCTGGGTCCTTTTATTTCTTGATTTTGAATAATGGGTCTTGATTAGTTTTGTTGGTTCTTGCAGGAAATACACATCTCAGAAGATACCAAAGTTAGTCACTTTTCTTTAATTTTGATGAGAAACAGAGAGAAAAATAGATTCTTCTTTGCTTTCTATATGAATTTCATGTGATTTTAACAGTTGATTAAGAAAATGCTTGTTTTTATGTGAGTGGTTTAAGATGGTCAGCAAGAGCAATAAGGTCATTTGGGTTAGGAGAATTGGAGGCGAGGAAGCTGAAGTATCCTAATACAGGAACCGAAGCACTTTTAATGGGGATTTTGATCGAAGGTCAGCTATTTTTTTACGCATTCAGTGCGTAAGCCTCTTTATTTATTTTTGGGTTTATTGAAGTTTTGTGTTTGGTTGCAGGGACAAGTCCAGCTGCAAAGTTTTTGAGGGCTAATGGAATTACTTTTTTCAAAGTCAGAGAAGAAATTGTGAATTTACTTGGGAAATCTGAAATGTATTTTTTCAGCCCCGAGCATCCTCCATTGACTGAACAGGCTCAAAGAGCACTTGATTGGGCTATTGAGGAGAAACTAAAGTCAGGTGATTTTTAACATCTATTGAATCAGACACTTGGAATATCTTATTCTACTTTGTGAATGTGTTTGCAAGTTAATTCAATTAATGATCTGCTGGGGCCCACGTAATGTGATTGTGATTCAGAAACTGCAATTTGGTAATGTTAGTTTAAAGATGAGTGTTGTACAAAGTTACTTTGAGCATTTACGGAAGAGAATGTTGGTTATTTCTTTCATGCTGCTTGGCTTGATGTTTTATTTGATACCTTTTGGAGCTTGGCAATTTTCAATTAAGGCAGTGCTATTTTTATGTATGACCTTATTCAGTATGGAAAAGATTGCAAGTCTGTGAGCCCATCTTGGATGTAAGTGAAAATAAGATTAAGTATCATGGGATCCACAGAGTAGGAGATGGGGAATGCCTGCTTATGCGTGCTTTATATTAAGTATCAGTCTCTCAAGGGTGCAAATGTGTCACTCAAGTTTCTTCTTAATCCCACCAAGAGTCAGAGAGTCATTGAACATTTCCTTTTACCTAATGTCTAGCATGGCGAATTCTCCTGATTATTTACTGTAGAAGCTTTTATTTGTATTCTGTTCTTGTCTAGTTTTGAGAATGTTCTTTTTAATGTTGTTTTGGTGTTCATAATCCCATCCTCCCTTTTCTGTCTTTTCAACCGTAAAAGAGTTATCATGAGTTACTAATGGCGACTCAAATAGCATATGCATTGTGTAATCCACTATTGTCACTCATCATTTTGAGATGCATTTTAGGAGTCTGTTGGCATACTGTGCATTAATTTTTGAAAGGAGCTTCAACAAAGCAAAAGTGGAGCTTTCTCATGGAAAAATGAAATGCAGAAGTATACAATGAATGCCGTGTTTCCCGTATATGGGATGTGCTCATCACCATTATGTTTTATTGAGAGACTGAAGTCTATGTTATATGCTATACCTTTGAATGACGAATTGACAAGGTTTTTATCTGGTAAAAAAAATGTCAAAATTCAATCAGACAAAATTTTGCTTTGGTAATTTAGATTTGAAATTTGTTTTTCCTACTGATTGGACTTGAATCTAAGCATGGCTAGCAACTGTAAATAGCAAATTTGACATTTATAAACAATGCATCTTGATATGTGTGTGGGTATGGGTACTGTCTATGTATATGTGGTTACCATAATCATCTTATTGTTTTGTGAATTTGCAGGTGATAGTGGAGAAATTACCACAACTCATATACTTCTGGGGATTTGGTCAGAAAAAGAATCTGCAGGTCGCCAGATATTGGAAACTCTAGGTTTTAATGATGATAAAGCTAAAGAACTCGCAAGATCTGTAAGTTCGAATGCTTTTCTAATTTTCAAGCATAGCTTTTTTAGTGTTTCTGCATAACATGATTCTTCATCCATCCAGATGAACGGAGACGTTGCCATGAGCTTTAAGTAGGGAGATCAGAAAGCTTTCTGAAATGTATCTTGCTTGTTGACTCCAGAACGTTGCTGCATAGCTTTCAGAAGATAGATACTTAGGTAGTTGGTTCTGGCGGAGCAATTTTGTCATCAAGGAACTTGTTCCATGTATGGGGTGTTTCAAATTCTTAAACCAAATGCTTTCATGAATCGGCTGGAGATGTTGAAATTTGCATCTTACTTACTAGGGTTTTGTCGAATCCAAATTCTCAGGTGGGCATGTTTCTGAGGCGATGGATTTTTTACTGATTCACTCCAATTCCTTGCATTGACTTAAAATTTTATCATTACCTTTTATAGACTGTATCAATACCTTTTACCTGGCAAAGCTGAGTTCCCAAAAAAAAAAAAAAGGAAAAGAAGAAGAGATTCGCCTTATAACATATTGAATGTAAATCATTTCTGCAGTAGCATCTGATATATTTGTTCACACCAGCTTCGCATCTTTTCTTCTATCGATGCGTTGGTTAATGTACTGAAAACTGAATGTTATTGTGGATTGTGATGAGCCACGTAGTGATGAGTGTGTGAACATGGAAAGCTACATCTTGTATACTATCAGTTCCTTTAATTATCATTTACTTGAGTTCCAAATCATGCTGAAAGACGATAAGAGTGTAGCAAATATCATTAATCTCCTGTGATTTGAGTGAATAAAACATGTAATTATCTTGCTTGATGACTGTTTGGGAAAGGATGGTAAGGAGTGGAAACGTTTTTAGCATTCTCCTTTCTGACTTTCTTAGGCACAAGAGTTGTTGCCGTTTAGCTCATCGGCTGTGAATGAATTCATTGAACTGCAATAGCTTTTCTCTATGTGAAATGTCACTTGGAAGCCCAGGACATTTTACACGGCAAAGGGAGCCAATTTCCATTGCGAGCCCAATCTAACATTTAGTGTTTTATTTACCACTTCGTAGTTCCTGTCCCAGCTAGTCGATGGGTCAATGAGATTGGAATGCCAAGAGTTTTCTTTTGTAAGGATTCAAATCTTCTTGTCAAGGTAAAAAAGATGGTATAAAATTGGCCTACTGTGAACCTATGATGATGCTATATACGGTGTAGAGACTTCTGTCCAACAAGTGTCAATTTGCTTTTGACTTGACGAGACTTGGTTGGTAATGAAGAGAAAGTGGGGTAGGTTGCAAGGTGCAACTCAAGCCAATGAAAAGATGGGCTACCAGATCTGCTCCTTTCATGCAAGGAGAAAAGATTGGTGCTTGTAAATGATTACGATAATTTTGTGCATACGTTGGAGAAGATTGCTCTCTCTCTCTCTCTCTCTCTCTCTCTTTTTTCCTTCTTTTTCTTTTGATATATGTGTGTGTATATATATATATCATTAATGTCTATTCCATCCCTCATTGATGATGAACATTTTGGGATTTTGAGATAAATTCTCATGGATTTCTTCATGCGTACTATAAATCTCCCTACTTCACTCAATGTCGCTACCCGACGTCGGACGAGACTCCCATAAAAAAAAAAAATCTATCGGGTGATATCACTAGTTTCGGATCTTTATTTTATTTTTAAGACTATTTGTAGAGTTTGGAGTCGCCACCTAGTATTGAAGGAACTAGGAACCTAAAATTGGCATCGGTTCGGAGATTCTATGGTAAGGAGTCGGTTACGCTTATGGGAAGATAATTAATCACCCAAAAATGCCCTTTTCTAAGAAAGGTACCACATGTAGCTTAGTCCTAAATTATCTCCTAAAGTATTTTATTTTTGCCAAATTATTTTTCGAGTTCTTGAGACTCCTATTTTTCAAGTCAAATTAAGTTTTTTATTTTTGAGCGTGGCATCGTATTGAAACGATCGTCGGACCCCTTTCATCGAGAGACACGTCGGTTCAAACATCGGATCCACCTTTTTTGAGTCTCGACACAACCGGTGTGTCGGAGAACACTTGTTTATTAGAAAAAAAAAAACCTTTTTTTTTTTTGACTAACAACGATCCCTATCGGATAAGAGACTTTGTTAAAAAGTTTTATGATTTTTTTTGTTATTTTTTTCTTTTATTTTATTATTATATATTTTTTTATTTATTTATTTCTTTTTAAGAAGGGTTATCATCGATCCCTAAAACTTAGGAGACTTGACAATCTTCTACTTATTACTTACTGAACCTAATTAATAAACAAATAAATTAAAGCTACATGAATTAAATAAAAGAAATCAAATACCGAAATTTAAATTAGTAACGAGCATACATAAAATAAATTCCGGATTAAAAATTACATTAATTAAAATAATAAAAACAATTCAATAGCTAATTTTAATACGAAATAACAAAATCCCAACAAAAAAATTCACTTTTTTTTCTTTCTTTTTTTTTTTTTTTTTTGGCTGTCCGACCGAATTTCTCTTCTTTTTCTTTTATTTGCGGATCGGACTCGAAATTTCAGTCCAGATCCATTAACCCGTGGGTTGGGCCACCTAACCCACAACATTTAAAACAAAAAAAAAAAACCCCTTTTTTTCGATCCGAAACAAAACCCCTTTTTCTTTTTTTTTTCAATTTCCCTTTTCTCCTCTCTCTTTCCCGTTTCTCTTTCTTCTTCTTCTTCCCTTCTCTCTACCCGATCGCCATGGACGAACCGAGTTCGTCCCCTTTTTTTTTTTTCGTTTTCTTCTCTTTCTCCTTTCTCGCACCCCTCTCTTCTTTCTTTTCCTTCCCTTTCTCCTTTCTCTCCTTTTCCCGTCTCTCTTTTTTTTGTAACATGTTGCTGCTCGCCATGGAGGAACCAGTGGACGTTCGTCCATGGCGACTTGATTTTCCCTTTTCTTTCTTTCTTCTCCCCTTTCTTTCCTTCTTTCCCTCGCTCAAACAAAAACCCCCAAATCAATTTCTAAAAATTTTCTCCAATTCGATCGAACCCTAATTTTTCAATTCTTCAAATTTTCATGCGATATTGCTTTGATTAGAGTGAAATCAAGTTAATTCGACCCTTTAGGACTCAATTTTATCAAAACCCCCAAATCTATTCTTCAAATTTTTACAATTTCGAAAAAATCCCAAATTTAAATCGGACTTAAATTGAAACAAAAAAACGAAATTAAAGAGAAATTAGAGGGATTACCTAAAAGAATTGGTTGGAATGGATGAGGAATCGCCTTCGATTCGAGTAAATTTAATTTCCTTTTTTTTTTTTTTTTGATTTTCTCTCTTTTTTCCTTTACTCGTCGATTTGCCTCTCTTTTTTTTTTTATCGCTAACTCTCTCCTAATTTTGCGAGCTTCACTCTTAATTTTCTTGGATATCGGACTAAAGAAAAAAATCCCCCTCCCCCGTCTTTTTTTCTTTTTCCTCCTTTTTCTTTTTTTCTGTCGCCCTCGTATGTATATATATATACTGAATGTGGCTTGGTTGGTTCCCCCACTATGATGGTGGGGGATTTTCTCGCAGGTTTTCCGGAGTGGGCGTGTCCGACCATTTTTTGGTCCTAAGGGATGGCTATGGCGGTGGTCGGTAAGGGGAAGGTAGTGCGGCTCGTCGCAATTTGCAGCATGGTGAGGTTGCAGGAATTGGGGGATTGCCCCGGAGATTGCTAGATATGGGGGAAGTTGTCCGGAGGGACTCGTGGGAGTTGTGTGGCCGAAGCAGTGAGGTCATTGGAAGCACCGTGGAGGTTGTATGGTGATTCAACTCGTTGGAATATGCGAGCAGTAGGGTGGCCGGCAGTGTGAGGGGTGCCGAAATTGTTGACTCGAGAGGAGTTAGGTACTGCAAGTTGAAAATTTTTTTGTTTTGTTTTGTATTTTTGTATTTTATTTTATTTTTTGTAATTTGGTTCTGAATTATAAATAAATAAATAAAAGAAAAATATATATATATATATATATGTATGTATGTATGTATTTTTTGTCTTGATTTTATACAAAGCAAGCCTAAATTTAAATAATGAAAATAAAATAAAGAACACAAAAATAATACACAAAAGGTAAAATTTTAGGGTATGACACTCAATATTTAATGTTTCTCAATAGTTTTTTTTCCCCTTAAAAAGGAGAGATTGAAGCTTGAAAAATGAACAAAATTCTTGTCAATTAATGTAGTATCAAAAGCAAAGAGCTATGAGTTGACTAAAAACACATGAAAAAAAGGATATTTTATTCAAAATTCCAAAACACAGGGGAACATATAATGATTTCAATCATGGATAGGTACCCTGTTCAGTCCATCAATTAATTATTTTTTTAAAATACTCTAATGAGTAATGGGTTAAATACAAGTAAAATAGTATTATTCATTTATATTAATGGATAGTTTATCTATGAATATGGATAGTTTTTTTTTTACCTTATTGATACCTAACTTTTACCTATTAACATAAAAAAAATATTAAACTACAAAATTTAAAAAAAAAAAAAAGAAAGAGCATGAAAAACACATTGTGTGTATATGTGTGTGTGCAGGTTGTATTTTTTTTTTTTTTTTTACACTATGCGTTTTTATTTTGCATTCTTTTCTGCAATAACATGTGGAGAGTGGTAAGCTTGAGAAGAAGGGTAGTTTCAGGAGCGGGAGTTCGATTTATTTTGTTCCTGTTCATAAAACATAAATAAAAACATATTAACAATTTTATTTTTAACGAGTACCAAATAAGTATTGAAAAAAAATATAAATTTATTAAACTATGTGAAACTATATATTATTTATAAATTTGTTGAATTCATGTTTTTCGCTTTTTTTTTTTTTTGGTAATATTCATCGATAATTATTAATTTGTGAAGACTGAAGATGGGTTCGCTTATAAAATGCTAAGACTAGCCCAACTACCGAATTTATTTTTGCTCTCCGTTTCTATCCAATACAAACCAAATAAAATATGCTGACTCCACTTTACTTATACGTCTTTAATATTTAAAACATTTACCATTCTAAAAACCTATCAAAAAAGGAAAAAGTTGTCACCAATTATTTTATTATATAAAAGAGTTCAGACAAAAAAAATTTATAACAAAAAAACAAAATTAAAAAAATCTTCAATTTAAGGAAAAAAATTATTGAGTAAACAAGTATAAACAAGATATGATATAATCGATATAGGCTAGGTAAAGAAATTGATAAATGATTTTTAGTAGATAATGAGCAGAATAATAAGTATAATATTTTTTAATAAGTAGAGTTATAGGATTGATTTAATGTGCCTGTTACCCAGCCTATTGCTATCCCTAGGCATGAGGAAGTTGCTATAGCTTTAAGGCAATTACATCTTTTAAGGAATTGAAAGGCTTATTAGGGAAAAAAAAAAAAAAAAACTTAATTATATGTCCTCAGGCCCATTTCTTTAGCTAGTTTAAAAGTTTTTAAATTACTAGCTCTTTTTTCATGCAAAAGTGAGTAAATAGTAAATAGTGAGTTTTAGCAAAGAAAAGAAACATTCTAAAAAAATAAAAATAAAATTGTTATTCTATCAAATCAACTATTGCATATTCCACTACTCACCCCCAACAATTCAAATTCTACCCCACACTTTAGCTTCATGATTTTTCCCCCAAACCACTTTTACTTTCTTAGGGATTTGGGAAATTTGGAGTTTACCCTCTCCTTTTTCTTTTCTTTACCCCTTGTAATTGCTCTTGGAAAAACAAATAAATTGAGAACGTTGCAGATGGGCCTGGGCCAAATGCACGTGGATTTGATAAAATTATTTGGTCTACCATGCACGTACAATCATGATGACACACGTGAGGATTGTTCATCAATAGTGCAAGGAGCTGCTAAGAGAGCATCACCATCACCATCATCATCTTCGTATATAGGATGTTTTGCTAAAGTATTTTAGGGTTTTTTTGG